TTTAACATACGCTTTTTAGAAATAACCAAAACAAGGGGCATCTGGGTGGCTCAGTTGGTTAAGCGTCCGGTTCTTGATTGCGGCTCAGGTCATGATCTCACAGTTTGTGAGACTGAGCCCTGTGTCGGGCTTCCTGCTCACAGTGCACAGCCTGCTTGGGATTCTCTCTCTGCCCCTCCCCCGCTCACACGTGTGCTCCCCACCCTCAAAAAAAAAGAAAAAAAAAAAAACTTAAAAAAAAAAAAAGAACCAAAAAAGGAAGTTGAGCTTCCAAATTCCTAGCTTTGTCAAAAGCCGACAGGGTTTCTTTACCTAGAAAGATTAAAAAGAAAATAATAGGGGCGCCTGGGTGGCTCAGTCCGTTAAGCGGCCGACTTCGGCTCAGGTCGTGATCTCGTGGTCCGAGTTCCAGCCCCGCGTCAGGCTCTGTGCTGACAGCTCAGAGCCTGGAGCCTGTTTCAGATTCGGTGTCTCCCTCTCTCTCTGACCCTCCCCCGTTCATGCTCTGTCTCTCTGTCTCAAAAATAAGCATTAAAAAAAAAAAAGAAAAGAAAATAATAGAGAAGATAATGTCTAAGGTCAATATGATAAATATGTTTTTATGTCTATATGGCAATATAACTTTTCAGTGATGGACCAGTCAGGAATAAATTTATCTGCAAATCACAGGAAGCCTCCTTTTCCCTCATAACAAGTTCAGAGATAGGCAGTCCTTGTTAGCATAGTCGTGCCCAGAGGGACCCATTGAGACTCGGGTTCCTCCTACCTGTCCTCTCTGCCATCCTTAGTTATACTGCCTAGTCCTTACTTGTCATCTCATAGAGTGATTGCTGGTTGCTCCAAGTTTTGTGTCCCGAGGACAGGGCGAAGGGGGTAGAGCAAGAGAGAAAAGAAACGTGTTTTAGGAAGGTAAGTCCTCCCCAGTGACTTTGACCTACATCTCACTGACCATTTCCAGCTACAAGAGGACAGAGATCAAGTTTGTAGCTTTCACAGCTTCCACCACAGAGCCTGGCAAGAGGTGGGAGAAATAAAAATTGGGAACTGTCAGTATTTCAGACTTAATAAAATCTAAGTCACATTATTATATCTGCGTATTTCCTAAAATCTTGGGAGCATATTTTAATCTAATTTACATGTGCTGATGATTTCTATCTGCATAATTCTTAGAGTGATCTTATGTTGAAATTTCCCCCTCCATATGAACAATATCACCCTCCTTTTCTATATGGTCTACTTTATCAAAGTGGGCTAGGAAAAGGATTAGAAAATATTTCCAGATGCTAGCTCAGGTAATTGGGTGAATAGGTTTTATTTTTAACCACACGGTATTTTTTAAATTGGTTCCTGGAATTTTCCCCAGTGGTGGCAAGAATATCTTTGGTTGGCAAGCAACGGTACCATGGATAATTTTACCTATCTTCCCACATGTTTGCCCTGCTTGGTACGTTACATAAATTGGAGTACAGATGTAAAGTCAGAGAATGGGTTTTGTTTGTGTGGAGCCTTTTGCACAGAGAAGTGCTTTGTCTCCATCTAGCGGACAAACTCAGCAACGTCAGCCGTGGTTCTCAAGCCTGCTGCACTTCAGCATCACCAGTGGGGCTTGTAAACAATCAGGATGCCAGGCCCCTCCCCAGACCAATTCAGTCCGGTCTGAGAAAGGACCCAGGCTTCAGTATTTGTGTGTGTGTGTGTGTGTGTGTTAGGTATATAGGTAATTCTAATGTGCAATAAGCGCTAAGAACCGCTGAGTTAGAAGAAGCTCTAAATTGGTGGATGCTGGACAATCATCCTTCCTCTAAGATTGCCATTAAGGAAAAAGAATAATCTATGCAGGTAAATTCTATTCCAGAGGCCTTTTTCCACCTTCCAGAGAACTCGGCAAGTTGATGCTAAGAATAAAAGAAATCTAAATTTAAATTCCTTCCTGTGTGACTCTCCATATGAGGAGACAGAATGTGCTGAGCAAACACCCAGACCTGTCCCTGGGCAAAATTGGCAAGCAGTCTCAACCTTATTTTAATAACTTATGTGTTTACAAATTTTACATACTTTCTCAATTCTCTCAAGAACCTATGAAAGTAGGTCTTCCTTCTGCGAGTGTCCACACTCATCCAAGACCGGATCCCTAAAGCATCTTAAGTGCCCACTCAAACCCTGTTTTCCCTTTAATCTTCTCTCATTAAAGCTTACTTTGCTGAACAGCACTGTATTGTATAATTGAAATTTCCTACTAGAACTTCAACTTGCTCACCAAAAAGGGGGAGAATATGTGAGGTGAGGGATGTGTTAACACGTTGGCAAGGGGGATCCTTTCACAATGTATACCTATATCAAATAACTTTGTACACTTTAAATATCTTACAATTTTGTCAATTATATCTCAAAGCTTGAAAACAGAAGGACCTGGGCAAAGATTCTAAAAGTATTTCATGTAATATTCATGCAAGTTTTCTGTAATCTTGAAATTATTTACAAATGAAGTTTTTTGAAAATAGTTTTTAAAACTTACTTTTCCAAGATCTGCTTTCTCAGCTTGCTTTTATTCCCTGATTACCGATTTACTGAATGTGCACTTGTCAAACACACAGTTGATAATCTTGCAAGGAAAATATATCAAAGGCATATATATAGGAGTTTTTAGTATACACATAGCATGGAGGATGCATCTTACTGCTTTTTACGTATTCCAGAAGACATTCATATGAAGATAGATTCAAACTGGCCGCTCTAATTCCCACTGATTTCTCACGTCCTCTGATCTCATCTCCTGACCACAGCCTTGAAGAAATCACTGTTGGTTTTGCCTCTACTTTTGGCTTTGTCTTCCCATAACTAAAGACTTGAGTATCTTCTCATATGCATATTGACCATTGCTTGTATATTCTTTAGTGAAGGATCTGTTCAAGACTTTTACCAGATTTTTATTGGGTTGGTTGTGTTCTCATTACAATTTTATATATAATTCTTATATTTCTCCCAGTGGCTCATATGCAATGTGTTTTTCCTACGATTTTCAAGATTGTGATTTCTCTTGCAAAATTTTCTCTTTACTGTTGGTTTTCAGTAGTTTCACTATGATCTTCCTAAGTGTAATCTTAGGATTTATCTTAATTGGGGTTTACAGTTATTCGAAGTCCATGTTTCCTCATAAAACTTATACAATGGTCATTTTTCTTCAAATATACTTTTTCTGCCCTATTCTCATTTTTTTTAACCTTACGAATCTCCAATTACATGTGTGTCAATCCATTTGATACCGTTCTATAGGACCCTGAAGCTCTGTTCTTTCTTCAATCTCTTTTTTCCAGCTTGGGCAATTTAAATTGATCATTCTTTGGATATCTCTGCTGCTATATCTCTCCAGTAATTTTTCATTTCACTTATCTTTTCTGATGTAACAACTCCATTTTCTTTTTCTTCATTCCTTCCATTTCTCCACTGAGATTCCTTATGTCTACAGTCATTAAGATGACATTTCCTTTAAATCCGTGAACATGCACTTACGAGGTGCTTTAAAGTTTTTGATGGGCCGTGTCAAGCTTTGTTTTGACTTTTGTGTCACACGTTATAAAACTTGTTACAGAGAATCTGTATCGTATCTTTCTCTGAAGGGTGTTGATTTCTGTCCCAGGAGGCATTTTGATTACTACTTTCAACCTTACATTGGCTTGGTTCTATGGTTTGTTAGTATGATTCTTTGGAAAGTACAAGGTGTATCTCAAACCCTTCTAATTTGGTAAACTCTGTCTCCCTTGCAAATCTTGTTGAGGCTTGATTTCAGACTATATTCAGGGACGCGGACACTTGTCTACATTATGAGACCTGAAACAAGAAGGCAGTGTCACCTTGTTCAACCGTAGCTGGGAACATGCATCTTGGGCAACTAAAATTTTTTGCCACTCTGCACATGCCTGAGAAAGACTACAAAAGAGCCTAGAGTTACAAGGAAATTTTAGCAAATAGCAAATTTCCAAACATAATCTGTGAATGAGGATCAACTGAGGATATATTTTTAGCGTAATGAAGCCAGGTAACATAATAAAGCATATTATTGCTTTAAAAGGCTGTGTTAACTATTTTGATGGAAATTTTTCCTAAACATGGTGTTGCTCTTAAGACTAAAGGTAACTTTTTTCCCCAAGTCAAGATCATCACTATAATAAAATGAACAGTGATAAAATCCAATGAAACCTTTAAGGTTTTAGATATACAAATGTATGCTCTTAGATTTAAAACCCCATTTGGCAACAATTCTTGAGGCCTCTGCTTTGTTTTTTGCTTATTGATTTTTTTTTAAAACCAAAAGCTCAATATACCTTAGCTATATGATCCCGAGAAAAGTAAACTTTATGTCTCAGTTTTCTTATCTATAAAATTAAGAAAATGCATTTCTAAGGTCCTTCCAGGTCTAAAATTTTGTATTTTCTAGCTATCAGTACTTTTTGGCCTCTAGATGCTTCCTTTCTTTCTGCTTCTGATCTTCTGTGTCCTAGAAAAAACAGGATTACTAACAAGACATTACTAACAAGACATTATAATTAAAAGACTTGAGATCTTTTCTAAATTATGTGCCTACAAATTCTGGCAGTGAGGAGACCTGTACACCCTACTCCTGGATCTTAGCTATAATCCAGACATGTAAAATCAGTTGTGTTTCCTAACAAATGAAGTAAAAACAATTCATAAAACACTGTTAAATAGAAGTAAACCAAATATCTGACCTGCGATGTATGTAAAAAAACCAAAAACAACAGCATCTTTCCCAGAACCTCACTGATCCTTATGCCTGAGATAAAAGGAAAATGCACACAGTTTGAAAAACTGTTTTATAGCACAATGTATAAACTTGTCAAATCCATAAATTGTACACCTGAAACTAACGTCACATTGTGGGTCAACTATACTCAAACCAAAAAAAAAAAAAAAAAAAAGGGGGGGGGGAGAGAGAGAAAGAAAAAAAGCTATTATAAAAAAGTCTTAGAGAAGTAGACAAATTGAGCTGTTGACATATTGTCTTTATTGAATTAAAACTATACTATGTATAAAATAGCAATGTGTACACAGAGGGATTTAATGCATCATCATATATACAATTCTCTTTGAAAAGTTAGCATACAAATTACAATGATTATGAACATAAAGTTTATATTAAAACATCCTCCAAAAGTGATTTATTTGGCTGTTTTAGTTCGAAGCCGTCGTTTAAGAATCTGATGATCACTCTCCTTTACTTTATGGTCCATCAAAATCTGAAATTAACAATTCCACAATTTTTTATAAATAAAAGCTTATTTATAATTTAATAAGATATTCATGTGCTTAATAACTGGAATAATAGGTACATTTTAATATTTTTTTTGTCCTCTTGGCCTGCAGGTATACTAACCTTCAATAAAAAAGCATCATCTAAAGTAACAGATTTTGTAAAGATTCTTTCAACATTACCTAACATAGAATTAAAATCATCTACCCTTTATATTGAATTCAGGACATATATATCTTGAAGTAATAACTGAAGTATTTGGAGAGAAGTACCTTAAATAATTTTTAAGAAATTATCTTTCACAGCAACAAGTACAATAATCCCCCCTTATCTGTGGCACATATGTTCCAAGATCCCCAGTGGCTGTACCAAACCCTACGTATGCTGTTTTTTCCTATACATATACATACCTGTGACATAGTATAATTTGAAAGTTAGGCACATTATTATATTGACAATCACTAATAATGAAACAATTACAACAATATACTGTATAGTAAGTTTGTGAATGTTATCTCTTTCTAAATATGTTACCGTACTGTCCTCTCCCTTCTTCTTGAAATGACTGGAAATGATAAAATGCCTACGTGATGAGTGAGGTGAATGATGTAGGCATTGTGACATATAGGCTACTACTGACCTTCTGATAATACATCAGAAGGAGGATCATCTGCTTCCAGACTCCAGATGACCGTGGGTTACTGAAATCATGGAAAGTAAAACAAAGGATAAGAAAGGGCTACAGCATATAACTCAGAAAAGTAGAACGAGTATTATATTCCAACTAAGAAAAGAAAGAACTTCAGGGAAAGGAAGAAATCATGAACTAATCAGACAGATGGTGAAAAGTGACCAAGAAACTAGGATTTCCAACAGCATGTCCTAATTGACACCAATTCTTCACCACCTGCCTTCAAGTGTCTTGTATCTGACCACTGCTGTTGCAAAAAGTCTCTCTCTCCCCTGATTTCTCTGAGCCACTTCCTGCAGAAGCCTCCTCCTGTAATTACTTTTCTACTGTCACTTTCATCTACTGGGCAAATGCAAGCATGATGGGAAATTAGAACCCTCCCTGTAATAGCACAGACTGTTCTGAGTGAAGAGAATGAGTCATCGAGTCGGGATGACAAACTACAGTCTTTTCTTAAAAGAACCTGGAAGGCTTAGAGAAAAGGTGGGAGGAAATGACTGAATGTCAATTCTGCATTTTTACCAGGCCCACTTAGGCCAGATTTGTACAACTCCTGTGATAAAGTTAACAAGAAAAACAGGTGTTAGGAGCAAACAAATTGCTCAACAGTGATAATTCTGTTGATGGAATTAAAATTCCTCTGATGAGTTTACAAATGTAAATACATGACACTTGTACACGTTAATGCAGCACTTGTTTTAACTATTACAAATTTAACACATCACATAGCAAAAGTGTAACACTTAAAGCATTTCAGGAGATGTGATCTAAAGAATAAAAATTCAAACCATTGTAAAATTCAAACTGTATGAATACTTCAGAATTAAAAAGAGCATGAACAGTTTTACTTTCAAGAAAACGAAAGGAGTAGCTTACCACTTGGCCAGATATATCAATAGGAGATGAAATTTCATTTGTGTATAATTTCCGCTTGGCCCGTTTTGGTCGAGACACGTTTTCTTTACTCACTTCTACATGTGAGAGCTTTGAAGAGCTCATCGTTTCAATTATCTTCTTTGCTATGAAAAAGAAAAGTTTAAATCCTAAAATAAATAACTTTCTAAGTGGAAAGGTTTGAAATCCTTAATAAAGAAAAAACATACCAAAGTAAAGAGAAAAGCACTGCAACTTAGAAATGGTGAAAGGACATGACTCAACAATTCACAAAGAAAAAATTAAGTGCCTCATAAACACATGGCATAACGATGAACAGCAAAAACAAAAAGGCAAATAAATAAAACATCATTTGACTAATGTTCAACATGGTGAAAGGTTTGGTAAATTACAGTACAACCGATAAGTGTCTTTAATGACTCAAAGAGGCTTATGCTGTTATAGCAAAAAGCAGGATCCATATATACTGGACCATGCAGCAGTACTCACATGTAGAGAGATCTACAATCAATATTAAGTCAAAGTAGTTTATAATCGTGAGCCCTTTGCTTATAGTTAACACACACACACACACACACACACACACACACAGTAAAAGAAATCAGATTGTTAATGGTTGATTGTTTCTGGGAAGTGGAAAAAATTTTCAATTTCTTACTGTGTACATTTGTTTTTCTTTCTTTTTTTAAAATGTTTTATTTATTTTTGAGAGAGCACAAATGGGGGCGGGGGGCAGAGAGGGAGGGACAGAGGATCTGAAGTGGGCTCTGACCTGACAGCAGTGAACCTGATACGGGGCTTGACCTCACAAACTCCGAGATCATGACCTGAGCTGAAGCTGGATGCTCAACAACTGAGCCACCTAAGTGCCCCTATTTTTCTTTTTTTAAAAGTTTATTTTATTTATTTATTTTGAGAGAGAGAGAGAGAGAGAGCAGGGGAGAGGGGCAAAGAGAGAAGCAAAGACAGAATCCCAAGCAGTCTCTACACTAAACAGCACAGAGCCCGACACACGGCTTGAACTCATGAACTGTGAGATCATGACCTGAGCCAAATCAAAAGACACTTAACCAACTGAACCACCCAGGCATCCCTACATTTGTTTGTTTTTCAACAGGTACATATTGATTTTAATAGAAAACATACTTCCAGTTAGGAAACCTGCTGGATAGAAAATCCATATACATATGATATTAGCTATATATTTTTTTTAATAGAAAAAAGGTTGAAAAAACATGCTAAATTGAAAGTCTACTTGCCAAGGGTTAGGCTGGGCTTGAAAGAGCTGAGCTGCCAGATGTCAGAGTAGCCAGTTAAGTCAATAAGCCATAATGAAAGCAACACTTAGGCCTTTAACCACTTACTGCAATAGAATAAGCAAGAGGCAAAACCTGCGAAAATGCGACTCGCACCCACCTTCCATCTTTCCCCAGGTGTGGTCTAGGTCAGAAGGATCGGCACACAAGTGGGGAGTCCTCTCACTGCCAAGGGAGTACTGAACAAAAAGCTCTTGCCTTTGCTATTTTATGGACCTTAGGGCTGGAGACCAGAAGGAAGGGATAAGAGTGGAAAAGTAAAGTCTGAGTGGAGAAAAGTATCTTCCAGGTTCCCTCCCCTTTCCTGTCATGAGAAGGTCCTAGGAAGAGGTGCCTGAGGAATTTCTCTGCTGAGGGCCCCTAAAAAGGAGGCTCTGAATGAAGGCACCTCGGCGAGGACTGCGGGTATGTATAAGGGGATGGCTGGCCAGGGTCCTGAGTCCTTGACTGTAACTCCCTTCAGAGACTGCACTCTGCATGGGGAGGGCAGCCTTTCCCACGAAAAAGCCATGAGGCCTAACAGGTAAAGATTACGTAACTGCCTATGGGTCAGCCTAAAAGGGGGGAAAAAAAATCACACATAGGATTTTGGCCTGGAGCCCCAAACTCCCCACTACGATGTGCCAGCCACTATACTAAGGGCTGAGGATGTGAACCACACAAACACGTGGCATTTGTGAAGCTTATATTGCAGTGGAAAAGATAACACAAAAATTGTAGTTTAAATAATTCAATTTGCAGTTTGAAAGATCACTCTGGTGGCCATGCACTAGCGGGACAGGAGAGACACAAAAGGGAAAAGAAGGAAGACCAATGATACCAAGGAATGAAATAACAGTGGTTATCAAGAGCCACAGAATTCTAAATATTAATCTCTATTTTTCCCCCTAGATTTCTAAGTGATCGACAACAGACACATAGTGTAGTTATAATCCAAAATTGGGGTATCTTATACTCCTATAAGTAAGTTTCTAAAAATCCACACTAGGGGCATCTGGCTGACTCAGTCGGAATAGCATGTGACTCTTGATGTCAGGGTCATGAGTTCAAGCCCCATGCTGGGTGTAGAGATTAAATGAATGAAAAAAAAAATCCACACCTGCTGTACAGGTAGGGAAGCTGTTAGGAGCTGAGTCAACCAAGCAAGAAAGTCAATTAATTACCATATGTGTGCTCCTTTCCTTGAAAACTTATTTTCCTTTACTATGTAAGTGCTATTCAATATAATTTAAACAAAATACCTAAGAATCTAAAATAACAAGTCCTACCGCTCTACATTTAAACATTTAACAGTTGCTGTTTGTCCCTCCAGATATCTTCTATGCTTATGCTAATTATAACTTTTAAAAAAGTACATGTCTTATAAAAAAATACATATATACAAATGAGGTTTGGTAAGTCTAAAATTCCCATACTGTGCCTGAAGCCAGCCAGACTACAGCAAACTCACAGGAGCACCTCGAAATATTTTAAATTTTCAAAGAAAACAGTGACACCAAGGGCACCTGGGTGGCTCAGTCGATTAAGCGTCTGACTTCGGCTCAGGTCATGATCTCACCATTTGTGAGTTTGAGCCCTGTGTCGGGCTCTGTGCTGACAGCTCAGAGCCTAGAGCCTGCTTCGGATTCTGTGTCTCCCTCTCTCTCTCTGCCCCTCCCTCCCATGCTCATGCTCTGTTTCTCTTTGTCTCTCCATAATAAATAAACGTTAAAAATTTTTTTCAAAAAGAAAGAAAACAGTGGCACTCAATAGCTCAAGGTAGTATTGTTTCAAATGGTAACATGTTACATTCCTTTTGATGATGACGTAACTTTACAAACTGGATTTTCAGAAGCTGAATTTTCAGTGGTTGTTTGGCCTTAGCATTAATGGATAAAATATTAGCTGTTTCTTTTTGGGTGTAGGGGAACAATGAAAAAAATTACCTAGACATTAAAGGCACTGTGAACCAAGAAAGTTTGGGAACCTCTGTATTAAGTTTTTACAGGAAGTGTTTTTCCACAGCCTATTTGACTCAACTCAACTATCCCCTGCTTTTAATTTAACTCAGTCCCTTTCCCTCATTCTCCTCACCGGTAGTCTCAATTTATCCCACAACTACCACTGAGGTTAAGTTGACGAAAATCCACTCCTCTGCCTGCCCCTTGTCCCCAGTAACCTCTCCACACTCTCCAAGCCAGATGCATATTACTACCCAGAATTGCCTACACATTCTCTACACTTTCCTGGTACTCTACCTGTGTTAAAACTGTTCCCTCTGGTAGATGTGTGTGTGCACATGTGTGAATACATATAAATGTATGTTTGTGTTTATGTGTGTGTGTATTTAGAAAAAGTATGTATCTTAGTATATATTTATACACAAATAATATGGCTATGTTATAAAGAAGAAAGCATTAAGCAATTGAACTCAAGAGATATTTATAGAAATACATATATATTTGATATTTTTGATATATTTTGATATTTTTGATATGTATGAATGGATAATGTTTGTCAATGCATAGAAAAAAATACTAGTAAGAATATATACCATAACAGAGTGATTATCTCTAGAGGGTGTAATCCTGCCAGCATTTCAATCCCAAGTTAAATCCCATCTCCTCAAAAAAAATAAAATTTTCCCTTAGCCTCTGAATCAAAAGAGCTCTCTTGCCTCCAATACTACAGAACTTTCTTGGATCCCTGTAACTACATTAAAGCAGACTGTTCTGGATGAAGTACAGTTGACCCTTGAACAGCACAGAACTTTGGGGTACCGACCCCCCCATAATGTTAAAAATCCACGTACAACTTTTGACTCTCCAAAAACTTAACTAATAGCCTTACATTTGATCAGAAGCTTTACTGATTAACATGGATTTTATATGTAGTATATACTGTATTCCAACAATAAGCTAGAGAAAACAAAATATTAAGAAAAATATACACTTACAGTAACATAGTTAGCAAAAAACACCCACACATAAGTGGACCCATGCAGTTCAAGCCCATGTTGTTCAAGGGTCAACTGTACGTACATACAGTTCTTTCTCCTCCTCTACAGCCAACACCTAAGCACACATCCTTTCACGCACCCTCCCATCGTACTTCACACAGGACAATGTCTATTCGAAATACGATAATCACTGTTGTTGAGTTTATATGCCAACCAGATATTAGAAAACACCTTATACCTAACATAAAAGGTCTTTTAATTAGTTTTCTGCAAACCTTTCGATTGAAGAATTGTTGGAGAATGTTGTAAGAAGTCTCCAAATTTCTGTAGTGTTCCTTCTTTTTTCTTAGTGGCCACGTTTGTACTAACTGTGGATGCCTGACTCCGTAAAGAGTATGTTTTTTTAGATGATGGGCGTGTGGAAACCTAAGGAAACAAACATTTTTTGTTACTGTTGATGAAAAATGTTAGAAGGACACAGTTGTGACCACAGTGGAATTAAAGAGGCCAGACCCAGGTCACATTTGCAGGCAGGAAGCTCAGGATTAAGCGTATGAGGAGACGATGAAAGAGCCCAAGAATGGCAAATAGGTGTAACAGGCAGAACGCGGACTCAGAAGTACTGAGAAGGGCCCGCTACTGGCCACATGCTAAAGTTTATATTCTAAGCTGAATTAGATGGATAGGAAATGGAAGATAAATGAGTTATAACTGGAGAAAACTGAATTTCTGGGTCATTACTAATTAAATCTGACATTTTTATTTTTATATTTTACTTTATAACTGTAAGTTAAGAAAATGGTCAATTTTGGATGAATGAAAAGACAAACCTTTTGATCCTTTTTGCCAGAGGAATTTCTATGCTCAGAAACAGGAGAGTTGAAATTAGTTCTGGGTGTAGCATTCTTCTTATTTTCATATTTCACCAAGTCCTAAAAATAATGAAATTCAGCACTGGTTAATTCCTTAACAATATTTTCTTTCTCTAGACTCAAAAGAAGAAAGATGGTAGTTCTTAACCAAGGGTGATTTTGACCCCAGACGACACTGATAATGTCTGGAGTTATTTTTGGTTGTCGTTGCTGGGGGGAGGGGGGTTTACTGGCAACTAGTGGTAGAGGCCAAGAATGCTACTAAACATTTCTACAATGCACAGGAGAGGCTTCCAAAACGGAGGTATATAAGCCTAAATGTCAATCACGCTGAAGCTGAGAATCCCTGACTGAAGGTATGACTTTCCCCCCCAACTTTATTGAGGTATTACTGACTATAGTATAACATATGTTGAGTTTAAGATGTACAACGTGAGGATTTAATACACACATATATGGCAACGTGACTGAACACATGAATTTTTCACACACACACATCACAAATAACGAAGTTATATAAGCTAAATAAAAAATAGTAGAAAAGATAGCATCTTTTATTTGAACCCCATTTCCAAAATACAGCAAATACACCTACACTTTCCTCAATTCGCAAATCATTCAGAGCATCTATGTTTGGCAGCCTCAAAAACAAAACAGAACAAGATCAAGTGAAAATCTTCAGTATAAGCAGAGGCAAAATGCTAAAATCAAGAAATATAATTTATCTTCCCTATTAAATAGGCTTGACATATTACTTTTCTTTTCCCCACATCACCTCTCTTAGGAAAACGTCTCTTGTGGTATATTAACCGAATCAAACTGGTAAAAATCCTGGTTGTACCAAAGATCGTATGTGTAAAACGAAAAACAATAAAAGGCAAGAAGAGAAGCAAAGATCATGACCGAACCTCAGAATTCAAGTTACAAAGTAGACCTCATAAGGGTGATAAGAAGCAGACCTCCTGAAAGGGGAAAGACAGATGGTAATCAATGTAAAACAAATGAAGAGTAAGAAGTCCCTCTTACTTGTAGTGTGCAATAAAGAGCTCTCTGGAGTCTTCACTGGATTAGAATATAGCACTGTATAAATGATTTTCATGAGGACCTTATTATAACACTCAGTTTCTGAAAGCATTGAAGAGCTAGTAAACATCAGGAACAAAATTTAAGTTTCTACATAATTCTACATCTACAATAATCTGCATATCTATTCTAAAAAACACATGGGGAGTATATTCCGATAGTAAAATGAAAAAAATAATTGTGTTTTCACCCTCAGTACACAACCAATTTTTCCTTTTCCTTCGAAAACAATGAATCAAGGAAAAGTCAACTTAACACAGATCATAATGAAACTACTTACTGTTTTAAAGTTCTCTAAAATTTACTAAATATAAATTAAATATTGAATACAAAGTTAAGACTCTACAAAACAGTCACTAAAGGTGTTCTAGGTGTAGCAGGAAATATGCTAAATAATATTCACTTGGCAAATTTATTACCTGACAGAGAGCCTCAGGAGTATGGTTAATACTATTTCTGCCCTTCCACCAGCTTGAAAATATACTACTCTTTAGAGGGGTAAAAAAAAAAAAAAAAAAAAAGTTGAAGAACAAGTTATTGTGCTAGAGAGTTTATAATTAGTTTAAAATTTAAAACAAGTTACTGTTAAAATAAATACGACCATTTATTATGTATCCACCACATGTGGAACAAAAGCTAATAAGCATTTTAAACATATTGTCTCTAATCCCGTATTTCCAAAAGAAGAAAACTGCGGCGCAGAAGTTTATGTGACTGGCCAAACCTGCTTGGCTAGGAGATGGCAGGAGGTTTGGTAACCCTACAATCAGAAATCTTTAGTAAGAAGAAGTAAAAAGTTTTTATCCTACCACTAAATAGAGGCCCAAATTTTAATATACTGGCTAACAGAAAAAGTCTCTCTTCCAAAACCTACTATGACCATAGAGACCTAAAGATTTTAGTTAAATAACAAAGATTATACTCATGCGGTTTAGCCATTCAGTTTCTCTAATTTCTTTGTCAACTCTCTTCTACTGGAGGGAGAGTCACTAAGTTTGAAAAGGACTGGTATACTGAAGTAGCTCTCCAGTGAAATCCACCACCACTTGACCTATCAAAGCTTCAATGAAACAAGAGGTAAGCCATATATTTTAATAACCACAAGCTTTTTGTTTGAGGACTATCAAACTACAATAATATTCTTAAAGAATATAAAATGTGCCATAAATTATGATTTTGGTCTCTAACAGCAGTGCTTATGAACAGGAGGACAGTATAATAGTTTAACTATATAATAACTGAGCTTAAGGTTTGCTTGTTAAATTCACTCATTAGTTAAGTACTTACCTCCTCCATTTCATTACTCTTCCTCTTCCGGGCCTTGGAAATCTTAACCGTCACTGGTAAGGCACAACCGAGGTGTTTCACTGCCATTTTGTTTGGCCGTAAAGGTGTAAACTGAATCTCTAACTCAGGTTTTGGAAATCGAGTCGTTTGATTATTTTCTGTTGACACTTCACAAGAGTCAAGGACTACAGAGCCATCCTACAACAGAATTAAAAAGAACACAAATCTTATTTGCAGAATATGAATTTATGAATCGCAAAGAGTTAACTCTTTCAAATGCCCATCAAAGACAATGAAATGGAAACATTAAAAGTGCGCTGGGTCGGGGCGCCTGGGTGGCACAGTCGGTTAAGCATCCGACTTCAGCCAGGTCACGATCTCGCAGTCCCTGAGTTCGAGCCCCGCGTCAGGCTCTGGGCTGATGGCTCAGAGCCTGGAGCCTGTTTCCGATTCTGTGTCTCCCTCTCTCCCTGCCCCTCCCCCGTTCATGCTCTGTCTCTCTCTGTCCCAAAAATAAAAATAAAAACGTTGAAAAAAAAAATTAAAAAAAAAAAAAAGTGCGCTGGGTCAAATTTACCACAGCAAGTACAAAAAGATGGAGTTACCATCTGCCCTCTCCAGATTTATACATGGTATATTAAAATCTAGGGAAACAGAGTAACAAATTGTTTGGAACATTCCTTTATAAATTTATATTGCTGCCCTAAAACCTCCTGATTCCAATTCCTATTTGTTGGACTCCAACAAATTGAGTTGCAGTCTCAATCCTTCCTTTAATCTGGGCTATCCTCATTAATGACTTCCACAACCAATAGGATGTGGTGGAAATAACATCATCATGCTGAGGCTTGACCGTAAGAGGAAGATTGTACCTTCCACCCTGTCCTCTTGGAAAAGGAACTTTCAGGACACTCCCCTATCTCAGAACCCAGCCACTGTGCTGTGAGAAGCCCAAGCACAGGGGGAGGCCGCATGTAGGTCCAGCTAAGCTCCCAGAATCACCTATCCCCAGAATCAACCATCAACTACCTGAATGAATCATTTTATCAGACTTTAAGACAAGAGAGCATATTGGGGCGCCTGGGTGACTCAGCCAGTTAAGCATCCGACTTCAGCTCGGGTCATGATCTCATGGTTTGTGGGTTCGAGCCCTGCGTTGGGCTCTGTGCTGACAGTTCCGATCCTGGAGTCTATTTCAGATTCTGTGTCTCCCCCTCTCTCTCTGCTCCTCCCCTGCTTGCACTCTGTCTCTCTCTCTTAAAAGTAAACATTTTTGGGGCGCCTGGGTGGCTTGGTCGGTTAAGCGTCTGACTTCGGCTCAGGTCATGATCTCACGGTCTGTGAGTTCGAGCCCCGCGTCAGGCTCTGTGCTGACGGCTCAGAGCCTGGAGCCTGTTTCAGATTCTGTGTCTCCCTCTCTCTCTGCCCCTCCCCCGTTCATGCTCTGTCTCTCTCTGTCTCAAAAATAAATAAACGTTAAAAAAAAAAATTTAAAAAAAAGTAAACATTTTTTTAAAAAACCTATATTTAAGGCAATAGAGCATATTGATTTCATGAAGGCAAAAAAAATATACAAAATAGCATTAACAATACCGTTCCCCCCAAACCGTGGAATATACAATAACTGCTGAAACTCTTAATAGGAATTGGAATCAGGAGGTTTTAGGGTAGCAATATAAATTTATGAAGAAATGTTCCATAAATGATTGCCTTTGCAGGAGTGACTAAGTGGCTCAGTCAGTTAAGAGTCGGACTTCAGCTCAGGTCATGATCTCACGGTTTGGGAGTCTGAGACTGACGTCAGGTTCTGTGCTGACAGCTCAGAGCCTGAAACCTGCTTCAGATTCTGTGTCTCCCTCTCTCTCTCTGCCCCTTCGCCACTAGTACTCTGTCTCCATCTCTCTCAAAAATAAATAAACATTTAAAAATTTTTAAAAAAAATAATTGCCTTTGCAATCAAGATAAATCTTATTTATGAATCAACTCCAAACTTTTCTTCAAAGGATATGATCTTAGTCTCTAAGGTCAATGCTATTTGAAACTACCAAAAACTATCAAAGGAAGGCCAAGAGAAAAAAAGCGTCATGCCATTTCTCCATTTTAAAATGCCCTTCTCTTCCTATTCTCAGCTTGGTAAAATTCTATTCACCTTCAAGACTCAGTATGATGTTACATTCTCTAATCCACATCCACAGCCACTCAGGCAAAATTCATCATACCCTCCACAGGCAGGGTTCCTTCTTAGCAGTCTCTTCATGAGTCTTAGCCCATAAGATAAAGTCAAACAAATAGTCATTTATGTATCCGTTTTACTAGATTTTTTACTCCTTGAGGACAGCAATGTCTTGTGTTTGTAACCTCAGTGTTTAGCAAGTTTCCCAATACTCAATTGTGTTTAAAAAATAAACGTAAAAAAAGGAATTTCATCTTCAAAACTTTAAGTGTCATAAAATTTTTATCTATTGCGTATATAATCTGAGAATCTCTATATTATCCGAAGTGATTCACAGAACCCTAAACCCACTGCAAATTAAGGAAACTCACCATGAGTTACTGAGATTTGGTAACAAAGTTATTAAATGGGTACCAAAAAAACCCACCCAAACCACTATTTGAATAGAATGCTTATTATAAGGACCTCTTGGGACACCTGGGTGGCTCACTGGATGGGTGTCCAACTCTGATTTCGGCTCAGGTCATAATCTCACAGTTTGTAAGGCTGAGCCCCACATCAGGCTCCACGTTGACAGCACAGAGCCTGCTGTCAGGGATTCTGACAGGGATTCTCTCTCAAAATAAATAAACTTAAAAAAAAAAGAAAAAGAAAAAGAAAAAAAAGGACCTCTTATGAGGACAAATAATCATATTTTATCTTTTGTAGGATTTCCTATTTCTGACCACCAAGTCTGTTTATATTAACAGATCTGTTGTTTGCAGTAAGTTTCATTTTGAGAGATTAATATCATTTGGGGATCTAATCTCCCAAAAGAATTTCACTTCTCAAAAGCCTTTAGGTTTTCCTTCCCACAGCCAAGAGCACATACAGCTAACTGCATAGCAAGGCACCTACTAACAATTGATTAAATTACACTTGCAAGTGTTATTTATTAATTAATGCTCACTGGTAAAGAGGGTAAAAAAGTAGACTGTGTTACCAAATGCCTACCTCTACATCATTCCTAGAAATTTCAAAACTTGCTGACTGAGGTTCAGTTTCAACTCTGCCAGGATCCACTGCACTTGTATGTCTAAGCTTGATATCCACGTCTTGTTCTTCCTAAGTAAGGAAATATAAAACAACAAGCCACTGTAACCAAAAATACATTAAAACACTTCACCTAAAGAATAGAAAATCAAGATTTGGGTGGATTATAACATGGAAGTAATTAAAGACTTCTTCAATGACCACCTAACTCTCCTTCCTCCTCCCTTTCATCATCAGAGACTCAGGAAAGGTTGGGCAACTTGCCAGCCTCTGAGTCTGATTGGAAGAGAAATCTGAAAAATCACTTTTAATTTCCAAGGTGTTTTACGTTTATTCTCTCATTTTACTTTCATTGGAACTCTCTCAGCTAGATTTGTCAAGAATCATTATTCCTACTTTCTAAATGAGGAAACAGGGACCTAGAGATGTTAAATGACATGGCCAAGGTCTACACTAAGCTTGAAGTGTTGGAATGCCAACTGCTTTGATAACGCCATTGTGAAACACTAGAGGAGTCTTGAGAATAGAACTGTGGTATCGGGAGAAAAGACCATATTGATAGCTAAACCTTCTCTTGCTGCACACTTCATCCCATTTTCTCAGTTACAGGATATGTTCTACTGCTAAACCCTACTTAAGGGATCTATAAAGAAGAATCAGATTACAGTTTTAAACTCGATAAAATTCTAACAGTGGTGGCCTTCTCACCACTGCCATCAAAAGCAGAAGTCAAATATAAATTTATCTCTTATGCCATCTACCCATTATTGCCAAATAAAAAAGAATCCACTGAATCCGTAATGCGGAAAGCAACCAGCATGTATTGACTTCCACTGTGTTAAAAACTGCACTAATTGTTTTACAAATACTTCCAATTTTCACAACTCTATTAGGAAGACATTACTATCTCTGTTTTAGATAAGTTCGGATATGATAAGTGATTTTCCCAAAGATCCCAAAACCACAATGACAGCAACAGATACCCAATTTTTCTAAGTTTCTAGTCTATGCTATTTATACCACATATTACTACCTCTTTTTTTAGCAGTCTTCCTCTTAGAATCATGAAGTCTTTTGTTGTGACAGACAGGCACACACATTCATTTTCCTATAGTCTGGAGGCTTTAGAGCAGCAGATTTTTGAGGTAGATCATTTATTCTGGAAAGACTAGTTTCAGATGTTTGATTTCACCAGGAAGTAACAATTCTCTGTGAAATGCAATCCTCTCTCCATGCAGGGTTCTCAACCCCAACGTAACATTACAAAAGTAATTCCTGAATGACTCACCATTGTGCTTATTTTCAAAACAATTCATACCTTTATATAGCAAACTTAGAGTGGGCCCAAGTACTTAAATATTACCAAGACTAATACTGAATCACATTTCCACATTTTAAAGGTAGATTAGGGACTAAATCACAAATTGTTTATTTTTTAATTACTCTACCTGGAAAATATGACCAAAATATTTCAGAAAGTACTATTTCTCAGTGGGTCACTGGCAAGTCAGTCATAATGATAAACTCTGAAAACATGAAATACATGAAAACTATCCAAATAATTTTTCAAACTCTGATTGCCCTGTGATCTATTGAAACTTACTTTTTGTCCTCTAAGAGTTAATCAATTATCTTGAAAAATTCCTATGTTCAATAAAAAGTGGCACAGAAAGAATAAGATTCTATTCACCGTTTCAGAAGGCTTCAATGTGATCTTTTTTAATTGTTCAATTTCATTGTCTTTCTGTATGTTACTGGAGAGCAGTCCCTTCAGCTGTATTTCTAAAGCTGCGACCAGTTGATCGCGTTCTTGTCGCCACTTCTGAAGGTTATCATCTTTCTCTGCCAGTTGTACTGTAAGTATTTCCTAACCAGAAAATGGAGCAAACATTATAAAACTAAAAATTTTTTGAAATTTTTATTAGAAATAACTCAACCATGAATAAGACATGTACCAAATTACATGGTTTTGGCTAGATACTTGTAAAACAAAATACATAATGCCTTTAAATATATTTAATGTCCACATGCTGTATTTATCACTATCCCACCTCATTTCAAAAATCAGCTTACTGGTCACTTCCTTCAATTCTTTCAACAATTATGGCTTTTAAACTAATACTAGCATTTCCCCCAATATTTTGAAAGTGAGAGGTAAAATTACAGTAAAACAAATGACAAAACTAATAGCAACAAATAACAGAGAAATGAAAATTTAAAATATCATTTTCAATGTCTTCAAAAACCATGAAATTGTGGTGAAGTAACAAAAATACATGCAAGACCTAAACATGAGAAGCTGCAAACCACTGCTGAGAGAAATTAAAAATGCTTCAATAAATGGAGAGATAATCTGTGCTCAGTGATCAAAAGACTCAATAATGTTAAGATGTCAGTCCTCCCTAAACAGATCTATAGATTCAGAGCAATTCTGATTGAAATCCAGGCAGGTACACATGTGTGTATGCATGTGTGCATGCATGTGAGTGTGTGTGGAAACGGGAAAGCTCACTATCAAAGTTATGTGGAAATGCAAATGATCCAGGAGAGTCAAAATTATTTTGAAAATGAAGAACAAAGTAGGAGCAAACACATTGTCATTTCAAGCCTACTATGATAATCAAGACAGTGTGATACTGGAATACACTACGATCAGTGGAACAGAAAAGAGGGTTCATAAGTGCATGGTCAACGGACAATCTATAATAATGCCAAAGAAAGAACAGTCTTTTCAACAAAGATTGCTTACAATAGCCAAATGGAAAAAAAAACAAAAACAAAAACAAAAAAACAAAAAACAAAAACCCAAACCTAATCTCATCCCATGTACAAAAATTAACACTTAGCCAACTGATTTATGACAAAAGTGGCAGAGCAGTGAGAAAGAAACAGTTTTTTCCAATGAATACCACCAGGAAAATTGGTAATCCACATTAAAAACAAATCTGGATGCCTCACTCACTCCAACACAACACTCAATACTAGAATCAAAATATGAAAGGTAACACCTTAACAGGAAATGGTATGAGAACATCTTCATGTCTTTGAGGTTAATAAAGGAAAAGATTGGGAAAATGAACTGAAGAATATTTAAGAACTTATATTCATAAAAAGGCATTAAGAGAGTAAAAAGTAAACCAGAGACTGAAGAAAGGCACTTGAAACACATGACAAAGGGCTTCTAACCAGAAAGTATAAGGAGCTCCTATGTATCAAGTAGAAAAAGCCAAACAGATAGGAAAAAGGCAAGGGGACCTGTATGTAACCTTCAACTTCATTAGTACTCAGGGAAAAGCACCTTAAAATCATAAGAAATAACCAACACCACCATATGTTGGTAGGAATATACAGCAACTCCAGTACTAGAATATAAATGGGTACTGGGGCGCCTGGGTGGCGCAGTTGGTTAAGCGTCCAACTTCAGCCAGGTCACGATCTCGCGGTCCAGGAGTTCGAGCCCCGTGTCGGGCTCTGGGCTGGTGGCTCGGAGCCTGGAGCCTGTTTCCGATTCTGTGTCTCCCTCTTTCTCTGCCCCTCCCCCGTTCATGCTCTGTCTCTCTCTGTCCCAAAAATAAATAAACGTTGGAAAAAAAAAATTAAAAAAAAAAATAAATAAATGGGTATAGCTACTTTGAAAACCTGACATTCTACCAGAGTCCCACACATGTATACCCTATCATCCAACACTTCTGTTCTTGGGTAAATATGCAATAGAAATGCATGCACATGTGCACTGAAAGAAATGTGTAAAAAAATGTTTATAAGAGAATTTACTCATAATAGCTCAAAACAGAAAATAATACACATATCTTCAACATTAAAATGATTAGGCTGTGGTAAATGCATACATTGCAATATTCAGCAAAGACAATGGACTAATTCCAGCTCCGTGTGGCATGAATAATTCTCACAAACATAATAGTGACAGAAGCCAAGTACAAACAAATGCATCCCATACATTTCCATTTACATAAAATTCAAAAATGGTCAAAACTAAAGTACAACATTAAAAGACCCAATAGTTGGGGCACCTGTGTGGCTCAGTCAGTTAAGCATCCCATTCCTGATTTCCGCTCAGGTCATGACCCCACAGTTCATGAGTTCAAGCCCCGCATCTGGCTCTGTGCTAACAATACAGAGCCTGCTTAGGATTCTGTCTCCCTCACTCTCTGCCCCTCCCCCACTTGCGTGCGCGCGTGCGCACTCTCTCTCTCTCTCACAATAAATAAAAATAAAAAAAAAAAAAAAAGAAATAGAAGACGACCCTTCTGAGGTACCTCTGGAGTAATCTATTTCTTGAACTGGATGGTACTTAAGTAGATACTGATTTTACAAATATTTCCCGAACTATTGTTTGTTTACTTACTGTATTATATGTGACAATTTTAAAAATTAACAATTTATATACCTTAAAATGGGAGAAACATACATCCTAGATATGATGGTAAAGAAATGTATGGGAGAAAGAAGGAAGCTAGCTTTCTCAAGGATTGCAAAGTTGGTTTCCTTGCTAGCATTGCTGCCAATGACTGGGACCACTGACTGAGAAAGAAAATAGCCCTGATTCCTGTTTTTAAATTGGAGTGACTCAAAGCCAGTAGTTTGATTTCACTTCTTGCCTCTTACTATTGCCCAGGAAGGAATGATGGGCTGTGGGACAGGAGCAGAGAACTAGAAGCAACCTTTCCTTTTAAGACAAATGTAGCAGCAGAATCCTGCTCAACCCACCACTTCCTGAGGATACCTTCAATCACATGGAATTGGCACATGAAATACATTACCATCTCAGAGCCGCAGTAACGACAAGTGTTAGTCTCACACGATTTAGCATATGACCAAAAGAGTCAAGACTCTAAGGAAATGACAACTAATGTCATATTGTATTCCAGATGAGATTCTGGACCCAGAAAAAGACATTAGAGGGAAAACTGATGAAATTCTAATAAGGTCCACAATTTAGCTAACAGCACTGCAATAATGTTAATTTGTTGGTTCTGATCCTTGTACTGTTGTTATGTAAGGTGCTAACATCAGAAGTTAGTGGTTAAGTATACAGGAACACTCTGTATAAGTTTTGCAACTTTCCTATAAATAAAATGATTTCAAAATAAAAAGGTAAAATTATTTTAAAAATTTAGTGGGAAAATCACCCTTACCTTATGGAAAATTAACATCCTATTTTTATAGGAAAGCTTAGCTATTATCTATAAAATTCTGTCATAAACAAAAAAATACCAGCAATGACAATGTGATACTGCCCAGTTACTATGATAGTAAAGAGAAAACGAGGTTTTCATTTAAAGACAGTGTCAATGTGTCGCTCAAGAGTTTTCCTAGGACCAATGATGCCTTTTAACTTCTTTTTTTTCTGTTGGCAACATAAGGTGCCAAACATACTAAGCAGTCAATTAAAACAGGAGGGGAAGAATAAGCTAAGATAGAATGCTGTAAGAGCTACAGCTGGTCAATGTAAAACTGAAGGTCATTTCTACCTGTAGTCTTCTAGAAACTATTTGGCTGGCTTTTTAAAAGTCCTGATGAAATCAGCTTATGAGGTAAAATACACACACCATGTTAGTAGAATCTACAGTTGAAAATGCAAAATCTTATAATATAGTAAGGATCACCACTGTAGCAATCAAAAGGAAGAGACGTTTAAGTTCTGTATCCAGATACTGAAATGTAATTAGGCATTTTCCCAACCTGCTAAATGGACTGAAAAAAGTTAAAATAAGAACATAAGTGAACTTCAAAATTGGGACAGAAAAGTCATCTTACAAATAGACTGCTTTTTAAAAAAAGCCAAGAAAATCAGGCAGCCATGTAAAGACTGATAAGAACCCCAGGGATAAATTTAACAAACCAAAGAAAGCTGGTAAAATACATCAAAGATAAAGTATAATTGTTACCCACCAGTTCATTTTGTTGCTTTAAACAACGCTCTCTGTCTTCAGCATATTTTTTCATCTCTTTGTTTCGTAGATTCTCAGCTTCTTTTGCTTGAGTGATAAGCATCATTTTTTCTTCTAGCCATTTCTTTCTATCAGCTTTATATTTATGTTCAGATTCCTATATATATAAATAGTACAAGTAACTATCACATGCTGAATAAGTAATAGTCGGTAAATGTATTTTTGTAACATATTCATATAACCCATCACTTGTTTTACCTTTTTGAAAACTTAAAAATAAGCATTTTTCACTAAACAATGATAAGAACAGAGTTTATTTTGGATTATAGAATGAATGCTGCTGGTTTCCTTTTCTAAATGGACTTCATTTTATAAACTTTATTTTGCTATGAAGTTCATTTAAGGACTCTCCTTCATCAGTGACCTTAAGAAGAAATAAACAACTTCTATTTCTGAAAGAGTTACAAAGACCCAAGTCTTTCTAAACACCAGAAAACAAACAAAAAAAAAGACTTGGTTTGTGATGGTTCTTTTTTTTTTTTTTAATTTTTTAATATTTATTTATTTTGAGAGAGAGAGAGAGAGAGAGAGAGAGAGAGTAAGCAGGGGAGGGGCAGAGAGAGAAGGAGACACATAATGTGAAGCAGGCTCCAGGCTCTGAGCTATTAGTACAGAGCCTGACACGGGGCTTGAACCCACAAACCGTGAGATCATGACCTGAGCCACAGTTGGACGCTTAACTGACTGGGCCACCCAGGGGCCCCCATGATGGACATTTCTAATTGCATGATATCAAAAATAAAATATTCCTGGGTATACAGGATGCCAAATAAAAAACAACTTGTACAACAGGACGTTTATTAATTTAAGGAACACTGGGAATAGCTAGACTGAAGTAATTTCCTTTCCAGAATTAGAAAGTTTACAATCTAAGATATGTGATTACGTCATTTGAGGACAACATAAAATAAACCAATATGAACTTAATATGAACATTCTCAATATAGTTAATATATTTTTTCATAAATAATGCAGTATTTACTTTGTTTTAGCTGCTTTGGGGTTTTCCTAACAGCAAGTGTAAATTTTAGAATACAAATTAACAGTTAACAAAAGAAAATATTCTTTATTTATTCAGTATCTGATTATATACGTAGCATGAGTTTAAGAAAACCATTTAGGTACAGCCAACTTTTAAAAATCATTATTATGCTTTCTTCAATTTTAAAACCAGTCCTTTCTAATCAAATGTAGAAAATTTTAAGTAGTATGTGGTAAACCCCATTAGAAAAATATTTCCCCGATATGTTATATGCCTTACAGTATTTAGAGTTGAACATGGAAAAAATATAAACACAAAACAGAGTATCTTCTATTATGATGCAGTTTCAAATATATTCCAGTGTCCACATACACAACTGTATTCTTTTCCAACTTCATAACTGAAAATTAAAATGATTATTTACAAAATAATCTTCCTAACAGTCCTCTTCCCCACAGCAGAATTTGATGACTCAGAAGCTTAAGGAGTAGAAAAATAGGTACAAACACATAAGAAGTTGTGAATTAAGAATTAGATATATAGAATATAAAAATGAACACCCAACCACTGTATTTTCCTAGGCACTAACAGTGATTTGTATCTTGAGAATTTCCACGCTATGTCATTTCAGTGTATACTGAAAAATTATACCTATATGCTAACATTTCCCAGGAGTATTTCACCCATATCTAAATTAATTATAAACTATTTGCCAAATTCTCTCTCATGAGAAATACAATGGAGAGATACATACACACAGAAAATCGTACCTGTAACTCATCCTGAAGCTTACTGAGCTTTTCACTAAGTACATCTGTGTTATCCTCAAGTTCTTTATTTGACCTTTGATTACTTCTGTCTTCCAGATCTTTGCATTTTTCCTTCCATTTTTCCAATTCTAATTTGAAAACATAAATTTATTTTTTAAAGCATATGAAAAAGTTATACCATACAGAGATACCTGTGGCATGAGATACAGACAAGAATCAGCAGAACCCAGAAGAAAAAACATAAACCCAGATGAGAACAGAGCCAATTCCAAGGACTTCATTTTTAAGAGTTCTTACCAAATCCAAATTCTTAGAGAAAAGAAAGTACAAGGACCTCTCAAGAACCCACTGAATAGTGTTCAGAGTATACAGTGTTAAATACATCTTAACCTTAATTATGTAGGAAACTTCTCAAAAATAAAAAATAAAATAAACCGTGATGGTATTCTGAAGGATAGAATCAGGGTATTTACTGACATAAACATATAAGATGATACTAAAAAGCTGGACAGAGGTGAAACTCGATTGAGAAATGTATTCTTACGTCTGGGAAACATTATAAGCTATCATCCAGTTATTATGAAAGTGTCCTTATTCCTTCTTTACTACATATAATTTTACTTAAGACAAAACAATTTTCACCACAATGGAAAACAGCAAGTGATAGGACATTAGGAAAACACGCCAATACTTTTATTATACTCAACTCCTTCTAAAAGGGAAAGAAATCTAGGAAAATACAGAGAAGAAAATACAGACCTTGAGATATTTAAGCAACCATGTTTTACCTGTGGCCAGTCTTTCGGCTTCCTCTAACTTCACCTCGAGCACTTGATCTTGTTCTGCCTGAGTTTGTTCCTGTTCTTCCAATGTCATTCGCATGTCCTCAATTATTTTCTCTTTAACATTTAGATCTAAAAATTTGAGGAGAACATTTTAGAAACTACTAACATGTACATCTAGCTATCCAATTTTTCTTGAGTTCTTCTAAAATTAAAATACACTTTTATTAACTATAATAGAATCTGAGTTCCACATAAAAGCTTTGTCTTGTTCACTGCTGTACCTCAATGCCTAGAACAGTACTGGCAGATATGAAGCACTAAATAGGTACCTGACATACAGATAGATACTTGAATGATTGCAAGAATGGATGGATGGAAAAGAAACTCTTTTCAGATAAAATTAACAATTTTTTATAATATCAAACTATTGGTACTAATAAACACAAATCTCGGGGCTTAGAAAAACCATTATTTGCAAAACATTCATTTTCAGTATAATATTCTCAAACCAAAAGTAAAACGTTTACCTCCTAAAAACAAAAAGGGCTCAATCCCAATTTGACTTTTTTTTTTTTTTTTAGATCTCAAGTAATTATTTTTTTCTACAAAAATTTCCAAAGCCAAATATTTACTTCTAGTTTTTTTAAAATCAGCTCTTCAGGAATGACTGTGCTATTAGCCTTACCAAAATTGTTTCTGGCCCTTAAAAAATGACAATAATGACATAAACAATTCTATTTTAATGCTGCCTGCCAGAAAGAGGGAAAAAGGAAAATGTGGCCTCTGGTGACGGCCACATTTGTAGCAGGGCACTACTACGAAACTTACCAAAACTATTATTACTGATGCCAGAGTTAATAAACCTCTAGATGCATACAGTTCAACCTCAGGTCACTGAACATTAAAAATGACAAAAATCTCAAAAGGCCTTCTCAAAGTGCACATAAAGCAATTAAGAAAATAAAGACAAAACACTAAGAAAACATTATATGAGTAATTTTTAGTATTTCTGTCCATTTATGTAAGCTGCCAGGAGTGCTAATAAAACAGAATTCCTCCTAGGATCAAAAGGAGTCTTAGTATTATTATCTAAACTCTTTCTTTTAAAAAGTATGATTTGCAAATATATTCAGATTATACAATTAATTAATTAAAAGTTTATTCAAAGAACCCCTTCTCTCTTCCACCCTAGATTTTACTCTAAACTAGAAGGCTAGAAAGAAAAAGGTTTAAGTATCTAGTTACCAATTAGGAAAGTCCCAGGACACCAATGACAATTTCACTAATGACTATTATTATTTGAAAGGTAGGTGCAGTTAAAAAAAAGAAAGAATTATTTTATCAGTCACTACCTCCAATAATATACACTTCATTTCAGGAAGCAATCCAGGAATACACAACTAATAAAATGAAATAAAGCAGCATGAGGACAGCTAGGAGACAGCTATCTCTTCACTGCTATCTAAAGATAGCCGTGAGCTACCACAGCTAAATAAATGACTGTCAAATAAGCCAGCAACCAAGCATTAAGCATTGAGGGGAGAGCGTCACTAGAGCTATGGTGTCCTAGGAAGGCTTCAAGGAATAAAGGCTTCAACATAACATTTGTGAACAAGTAGGAAGTAGAAAAAAGGGCCATCACGTACATGAGGCCAGGGAGAAAAATAAATATAAACGCCATCAAAGACTCCAGACTAGAAATACTCACTTATTGATAGTTAAAATTTATTTCAGAATATATACCAGATGTACACGGACCAACTACAGAAGCATGAAACCACAGGACACCAGTTTCACATATCACACTGGCAAAAGTCAGAAGTTTGGTAACACCTGATACTGGCAAAATGTGGGGAAACAGGCATTCTATACACTATTTTACTGTGAATATAAACTAGTTTAATCACTTTAGGGAGCAATTTAGCAATATTTATCAAAATTTCAAATACTCATCATTTGGGCCAACAATTACACTGCTGAGACTTTTCCTTACAAATATATTTACATGTATCCACACTTTTGTACAAATTTATTCATGGTAATGTCTATAATAACAAAAAAACAATAATCAAAAGTATTTTTTTCATCAAGAGTTCATATTACTGGACACTAGATTATAAATGTGTTGTTAATTTTCTTAAGTATGATACTGTATTTAGGTAAGATGATTCCTTACCTTATGAATTTCATGATAAAGTATTTAAGCGTAAAGTATCATTGATGCCTGCAAATATCTTTCAAGTTGCTCAGTTTTATACATGCATATTAGAGAAAGAGACAAGAGCCAGAGACATGCAAATGTGACAAAATATTTAAAAACAGTGAATCTAATAAAGGGTATTCAGGTGATCTTTACTTTCTGATTCCTTTACAAATGTTTATTTCTTAATTAAAATTTGAGAAAAATAGGAATAATGATTCCTACTTTATAAGCAATTGAAATTGTACCTTAAATTAGCATATAATATTCTCTACTAGATTTTGACATTATGTTTCATTTATGATCAACACCATATCTTCAGGCAAATGAAGGACTCCGCTCCTTGCAATAGTGTATATTAAAATCAGTTTTATCTCCTCTATCCTAATAAATTTTATTACATTACTTAAGGTTTTCTTTCAAGGGAATAAAATTTTCTTTTCCCATTAAAAAAGGGGGGGGGGGTTGCCGCCTAGGTGGCTCAGTTGGTTGGGTGTCCAACTTCGCCTCAGGTCATGATCTAACCATTCGTGGGTTCGAGCCCGATGTCAGACTCTGTGCTGACAGCTCAGACAGCAGCTTGGAGCCTGCTTCAGATTCTGTGTCTCCCTCTCTCTGCCCCTCCCCCACTCTCTCTCTCTCAAAAATGAACATTAAAAAAAAAGTCATATTAAATACAGTATGATATATCAATATCAATAAAATGTAATACTATTTAGCCTTTTAAAATAAAGGTTAAGGGGCACCTGGGTGGCTCAGTCAGTTGAATGTCCGACTCTTGGTTTTGGCTCAGGTTGTGATCCCAGGGTCATGGGATGAGCATTGGAGCCTGCTTGGGATTCTCTCTCTTTCTCTCTCTGCCCCTTTCCCCCAATCTTTCTCTCTCTCAAATAAAATAAAATTACAAAGTTAAAAAGGGCGGGGGGGGGGGAGGGGGAAAGGTAAAGTAAGATCTGTGTGTGATCATATGGAAAAATTTCTCTAAACTTCCCAAATATGTAGAGACTTATTGTTTTAGTTAGTGATTTCTTCTGGGGTATTTTTCTTGAGATCATATATTTCCAAAGGAAATGTGTGGTCTTTTATTTGCCTTCTTTATCACAGGAATAGAGGCAAATAGAGCAGGTCACAATAAGAGAACAAAACAAATTAGTCTGGATAGAGCAGTCAAGTTATATTAGGCTAGAAAAAGGTAGACTAAAATCCCTAGCTAGAGGGTAAAAGTTTGTGTAGGCAATATGAAAGGATTGAAAAATTTTAATAGGAAAATGACAATGAAAGAAGAGTTTTAGAAAAATCTAATCTAGCTGTGTTGCTATACGAGTGAGTTTGACATAAAACCTGGCAATGAGCTAAGACAAATATGAGGAGTAAAAAGAAGTAAAGTAACTTAGGTACTACTTCTGAGGGTGTGGGAAGACAATATTATTTAAAGTCTAAAAGCAAAGACAGTCAAACATTTTCTGCAAAGGGTCAGATAACAATTATTTTAAGGGACTATAACAACTATTTACCTCTGCCGCTGTAATATAAAAGCAGCCAGACAATACAAGAGAATGTGTTGCTATGTTCCAAAACTACTTAAAAAATTAGGCAGTAAACTTGATTTGGTCAGAAGACTTCCATTTCCTAATCCCTGGTCTAAACAATGGAAATAGTAGACATCAGTAACAGAGATCCAGAAAGTTAAAGCAGTTTGAGCACAGACATTCACATTCAGAATTTAATAAGACTTCAAAAACTTCAGCATAGGAAAAGAAAATTGTAGATCAATATCCCATATGAAAATAGTTGCAAAACCTCAACAGAGTACAGCAAACTAAGCCCAGCAACATATAAAAAGCATTATACACCATGACCAAGTGGGATTTATCCCAGGCATGCAAGTTTAGTTCAACATATGAAAACCAATCAATGCAATACACCTAATTAATTAAGAATAAAATCATACAATTGTCTCGATGGGATGCAGAAAAAGACATTTGACAAAATTCAACACATTTTAATGATAAAAACACCCTATGAACTAGGAACAGAAAGAAGGGAACAAACTTCCACAACCTGATAAAAAGCATCTACAAAAACCCAACACCTAACATTATACATAGTGGTTAAAGAATGAAAACTTTCCCCCTACAATCAGGAATAAGACAAAAATGTCCACGCTCATCACTTTTATTCAACACTGTTCTGGAGGTTTTAGCCAGAGCACTTAAACAAGAACAAGAAATAAAAGTCAAAAAGAATGAAAACAAAGAAGTAAAACTACCTTTATTTGCAGATGACATGATACTGTACATAAGAAGAAAGAGACAGAAAGAAAGAAAGAAAGCCCTATTAGAGTTCATAAAGTAGTTCAGCAAGTTTACAAGATACAAGATAAATATAATTAAATCTATTGTGTTTCTATATACTAGCAATTAACAATCCAAAAAATGGTATTAAGGAAACAATTCCATTTTCAATAGCATTACAAAGAATAAAACAGTTAGAAATGAATTAACAAAAGATGTGCAAAATGTATACACTAAAAAATAAAAAATATCACTGAAAGGAATTATAGAAGGCCTAGCTAAATGAAAAGATGTTCCACGTTTGGTTGACAATTTCTCCAAACAGATCCTCAAGATATAACACAATTTCCATTAAAATTCTAGCTGGCTTGTTTGCAGAAAATCACAAGCTGATTCTAAAATTCATGCGCAAATGCAATGAACCCAAAATAGCCAAAATAACACTTCCTAATTTCAGAACTTACTGTAAAACTACAATAACAATACAGTGTGGTAATGGCATTGAAAGTCCAAAAATAAACATTTACATTGATGATCAACTGATTTTGAACAAAGGTGCAAAGACAATGCAGTAGGGGAAAGAAGAGTCTTTTCAAAAATTGGTTCTGGGACAACTGAATCTTCATATGTAAAATTAAGTTAGACACCCCTACCTTACACCATATACAAAACTATAACTCAAGTAGATTAACTCAAAATGAATCAAAAATCTAAATATAAGAGCTAAAAGCTTAAAACTCTTAGAAGAAAACACAGATGACTTTGGATTAAGCAACAGTTTCTTAGACATGATACCTAAAATACAATCAGTCAAAACAGATAAATGGGACTTCATCCAAAACTTTTATGCATCAAAGGACACAATCAAGGGAATGAAAAACAACCCACAGAATGGGAGAAAACATTTGCAAATCTATCTGATAAGTCATGTATCCAGAATATATAAAGAAGTCTTACAACACCATAATAAAAAGACAAATAACCCAAATGAAACATGGGCAAAGGACTTCAATTTCTCCAAAGATATACAAGTGGCCTATAGCACAAGACAAGATGCTCAATACCAATAGTCATTAGGGAAATGCAAATCAAAATCACAATGACATAATACTTTATACCTACCTGCATGTTAGGTTAGTGTCCCCCCCACAAAATTCATGGCCACCTACGATGAATATGACCTTATTTGCAAGAGAGTAGTTGCAGATATAAGCAAGTTAAGAATAAGGTAAACTAGATTAGAGTGGGCCCTAAATCCAATATGACTGGTCTTCTTTTAAGAAGAGGGTAATTTGGACAGAGACACATAGGGAGAAGACACCAATACAGACACACCCATAAGAAAGATGGCTATGTTCCCTATCCCCATTCATCACGTTCTCTCTCTGTCTTAAAAATAAGTTAAACATGGGCGCCTGGGTGGCGCAGTCGGTTAAGCGTCCGACTTCAGCCAGGTCACGATCTCGCGGTCCGTGAGTTCGAGCCCCGCGTCGGGCTCTGGGCTGATGGCTCAGAGCCTGGAGCCTGTTTCCGATTCTGTGTCTCCCTCTCTCTCTGCCCCTCCCCCGTTCATGCTCTGTCTCTCTCTGTCCCAAAAATAAATAAAAAAACGTTGAAAAAAAAAATTAAAAAAAAAATAATAAGTTAAACATTAAGAAATTTAAAAAAAAAAAAGGGTGCACCCGGATGGGTCAGTCAGTTGAGTGTCCGACTTGGGCTCAGGTCATGATCTCACAGTTTGTGAGTTCGAGCTCCGCGTCAGGCTCTGTGCTGACAGCTCAGAGCCTGGAACCTGCTTCAGATTCTGTGTCTCCCTTTCTCTCTGCCCCATCCCCACTCATACTCTGTCTTAAAAATAAGTAAAACATTAAAAAAACTAAAAAAAAAAAAAAAAAAAAAAAAACCAGAAAGATGGCCATGTTAAAACAGAGACAGATTGAAGTTATGCTGCCATAAGCCAATGAACACAAAGTACTGCCATCAAGCATTAGAAATCAGAAGAGACAAGGAAAGATTCTTCCCCAGAACCTTCAAAAGAAGCATATCCCTATCAATACCTTCAGATTTCTTGCTTTCAGGGCCGTGAGAAAAGAAACTTCCATTGTCTTAAGCACCAAGTTTGTGATACTTTGTTAGAACAGCCCTAGGAAACTAATACTATAAATTTTTAAATGAAAAATAACCAATTCTGGGAACTATTTGGAGAGCTTTCATTCACTGTTGGTAAGAATGTAAAATGGTATAGCCATTGAGGGAAAATTTCATAGTTCCTCAAAAACTTAATTACAGAGCTATCATCGTATGACCCAGTAGTTCCACTCCTGGATATATATCTCCAAGAGAACTGAAAACATATGTCCACCCCAAAATTTATACACAAATAGTCATAAAAGCCAAAAAGTAAAAATAACCCGTGTCCAGCAACGGATATATAAATAAAATGTGGTATATTTGTTATGATGGAATATTATTCAGCCACAAAAAGGAATATAGTACTGATACATGCTACAGTATGGATGAAACTTGAAAACATGCTAAGGGAAAGAAGTGAGACACAAAAGGCCACATATTGTATGCATCCATTTCATGAAATGTCTGCAACAGGCAAAGCCAGAGACAGAAAGTATGTTAGTAGATGACAGGGACTGAGGATTGACAGCTAATGGGTATAGGGTTTCTTTTTTGGGTGATGAAAATGTTCTGGAATTAGATAATGATAGTGATTGTACAACCCTGTGAATTTACTAAAATGCACTCAGCATTACACTTTTAAAAGGTAATTATTAGGTATTATAGCTCAATTTTTAAAACAAGAATTTTATACTAAGATAGCTAAGTAGATGGCACTCAGTGTTTAAATGGACATATAGAGGGGCGCCTGGGTGGCGCAGTCGGTTAAGCGTCCGACTTCAGCCAGGTCACGATCTCGCGGTCCGTGAGTTCGAGCCCCGCGTCGGGCTCTGGGCTGATGGCTCAGAGCCTGGAGCCTGTTTCTGATTCTGTGTCTCCCTCTCTCTCTGCCCCTTCCCTGTTCATGCTCTGTCTCTCTCTGTCCCAAAAATAAATAAACGTTGAAAAAAAAAAATTAAAAAAAAAAAAAATGGACATATAGAAGCCAAAGTGAAAATGCCCTTTGTGTTTGTTGGGGAATGAAAATCACAGGAGTGAATGAACTCTCAAATGAGAAAACAAAAGGAACAAAGAGGATGAGGCCTTCGTTAGGAAAGTTGCCACAGTGGCTGAGGCTCATTCTGAGAGACAGGCAGCAACTGGTACAGAACATATCACAACAGCTGAGACAAGTCTCAAAAGGGGGGAAGCTACATATTTACCATTTTATTCAGAAAAAAATATACTCACACACAATAAATGCTACATAAAAAATGAAAAGGAGGAAAAGGAGGAGAGTGAATAATTATGTCAAAATAAAAGAAAGGACAAAGGAAAGGAGGGATTGCAAAAAGCTAATAGATTTGAAAATACGTAGGTTATAAGTGACTTGGGAGCAAGTTTCAAGAGCATGGAAGTCAGATTAAAGTTGTCAAAATGGGCCTATGCCACAGTTCTCAATACTGTGCAACGAGAGGAAAAATTAAAATATGATAGAAACTATATCCTGGTCCAAGGGCATGCTTTTTCAGAATAGCTAAGATCTATTCACATTTATCAACAATGACAAAAGAGTCAAAGTAAAGAAAATCCCTAAAAGCATTATAGAAATAAGAAATGTTAAGGGACAAAAGCCTAAAAAGGCAGGCAGGAGAAAACAGGACAGTGTGCAGATATATACACAGTATATTTATGCATACACACACTGAAATATTTGATCCTACTTAATCCCACAAATGTCCAAATCATCTAAACAAATAATCTGGTTGACCTACCCCTTCTTTTTAGTTGGCCAAATACAAATAGCATGAATTAGTGAAGAGAATCTGAAACTTAAGAATGAAACAGACCTATGTTCAAATCCCAGCTCTACTAACCACACAACTAAGAGTTTGAGGGATGAGTGACGGGCAGTAGAGGAATGCACATAATATCACAAATAGAAAGATGTATCATCTACAAAGGTAATTTTACATTTCAAATTTAAAAGTAAAATCTGAGTAAAAAAAGCACAATTCAGCACATAAGATGTGAAGCTGAAGTACTTAATGGTTTTTAAAAACTTTTTAAAAATATTTTAATTTTAAAGATGTTTTACTTGACATATATTCTTACATGATTTTGCTAGAAATCTATTCCATTCATTGTGACCTATGTAACCGACTTTGTTTTTCAGAAAATAGTGGCCATTATCTAGAAATCAATATTCCTTTAACTGAGCATTTTTTAATGTTTTATTTTTCTAACAATAAACTTTATGTTGCCAAGTTACTTATTAGGATCAATGCTTTTCTGTGGCGCCTGGGTGGCTCAGCTGGTTAAGTGTCTGGGACTCTTGATTTTGGCGCAGGTCATGATCTCATGGTATCGTGAATTCGAGCCCTGCATCAGGCTCTGTGCTGACTGCACAGAGACTGCTTGGGATTCTCTCTCCCTTTCTCTCTCTGCCCCTCTCCTGCTTGTGCTCTCTCTGTCTCTCTCAAAACAAATAAATAAAAAAAAAAAATCAATGCTTTTCTCCTTTGATACAGTTACATCTTATGTTGACGTTACTTTATAATTTTCAGAGGAAAATGCTAAATCAATTGTTATGCAGTTATTTTAGTACCGGAAATAGAGATTTGCTCCTGACCTTTGCATACTCTCTCATACTGTTGTATAGCTTCTTTCACATTCTGATTATTTAACTGCTCCTGCAAAATGAAACAACAGGAATTAAATGCAAATGTAACTAAAATGCACACCAATATTTAATATTGGGATTTAAAAATAAGGTTCAATGTTAGGTTTGAAATCTCTCTCCTACAAGGCTGATTACTAGTCTCAAATTTCCAAGTTTTTTCACCTTGGAGAAAAGGGCAGGGTGAGAGTAGTAATAAGAAAAACAAAAACAAAAACAACTTGATACCTTTAATCTACCTCAAAGTTACTGCCCAGTCATTTTATTTACTCAATATTTTAAGCTACCAGGTTTCTCTTATACACCAAAAAAGTAGAAATGAGGATATGGAGGCTCACTATACATTTAACAATAGAAGGAACAAGGAAAACCATAAAAAAAAGTTCCCTATCAATAAACTTAAAAAGCTGAAAAAATAGGGTCCTCCAAACCCTCTACATAGAAAGTAGCTGGGAAGTTTGAAAAAAATAACAGGAGCCACAAAGGCAAGACTAAATTATGGACACTGGAAATCTCCCAATTCTAGTTTTAACCTATCTGGTAATCCTTCATTCCCTGTCTCATTTAGTGTCAACACTATCTCCTTACTTTATAAATTTTACAATGAATCATTACAGAACCTGGAAATCTCTGAATCCTATTATGAAAGTACAGGCTGCTTTATTAGGATTACATTCAGTTAAAAATTAAATCATGTGTTGGGGCACCTGGGTGGCTCAGTCAGTTGAGCATCTGACTTCGGCTCAGGTCATGACACCGTTTGTGAGTTCCAGCCTCGCGTCGGGCTCTGTGCTGACAGCTCAGAGCCTAGAGCCTGCGTCAGATTCTGTGTCTCCCTCTCTCTCTCTGCCCCTCCCCCTGCTCATGCTCTGTTTCTCTCTCTCTCTCTCTCTCTTTCAAGAAATAAACATTAAAAAAATTTTAAATCGTGTGTTTATATCTGAATATTCATTGGTTTGCTTCATTTAAAAGCAAACATGCAAAGAATACAACAAATCCATTCTTTTTATTGTTGCCCAATCCACTTAATTGATGTCAAGCAAAATATAATCACTTATAAAGGGATTTTGCTTTTTAAGTGTCCTTTTGAAAAAAATTTTTTTTTTAAATTTTTTTTTTCAACGTTTTTTTATTTATTTTTGGGACAGAGAGAGACAGAGCATGAACGGGGGAGGGGCAGAGAGAGAGGGAGACACAGAATCGGAAACAGGCTCCAGGCTCCGAGCCATCCGCCCAGAGCCTGAAGCGGGGCTCAAACTCACGGACCGCGAGATCGTGACCTGGCTGAAGCCGGACGCCCAACCGACTGCGCCACCCAGGCGCCCCGAAAAATATTTTTTTTAGAACATGAGCTTCACTTTCTTTTTACTTTTTATTTTGAAATGATTTTAGATTCACAAAAGAGTTGCAAAGATAGAAGAGATCTCCTGTATAACCTCCACGTAGCTTCCCCTAATGTTAACTCTTACATTATCAAAGTACATTTATTTAAAAATTGCAAAACACTGGACAGAAGAATGAGCAGTTGAGTCTCCATTCTCTATTATTTAAAATATGGAAAAAATCATCTTTGTATGAAAAAAGAAATTAGCACTGATGCAATAATGCTAATGAACACTACAGACTTTATTTGGATTTCACCAGTTTCTCCAGTGACATCCTTTTTCTCTTCTAGGATCCCATACAGGATCGAAGATTGCATTTAGCAATCATTTCCCCTTAGTCTCCTCTATTCTGTGAGAATTCCTTGGTAATCTTTTTCTTTAATAACCTTGACACTTTTTACTGGTCGGGTATTTTGTAGAACATCCTCAGTTTGGGTTTGTCTGATGTTTTCTCCTAATTAAACTGAGGTTATGGATTTGGGGGTAAAATACCACATGAGATGGCCCTGCCCTTCTGGACACATCCTATCAGGAAGCACATGGTCTCAACATGACTTACTACTGGTGACGCTATTCTCGAACACCTGGTTAAGGTGCTACCTGCCAGGTTTCTCTACTGTAAAGATACTACCTTTTCCTTTCCGTACTCTATTCATTAGAAGCAAATCACTATGGCCATACTTAATTTTAAGGAATTAAAAAAAATTTTAGATTCCAGAAATAGCCAAAAGAGAATTTGTTGTAAGAATGGATACATTTAAGTAGATACTAAAATACACCAACAAAATCTACTTAAACTATTTTAAAAACAAAACTGTTACCTTGAGTTGCTGAATGGTTCGCTGTTTCATATCTATTTCCTGAGAACACTGGTTTTTCTTTTTCTCCAGTTCATTGATTTTCATTCTCAGCAATTTCTCCTCATCACGCATTACAGATACCTACAAAGTAATGTTTATAAAACAAATTAAATGTTTTTTATAATACTAACTGCTTTTCGTTGTTTAAAATTCATGGCCACTGGTTCAAAGATTCGTATCCTTTAAAACCCATTAGAAAAATTACAGAGTCTAACATACTATGATATGGCTTCAAATTATAGGAAATGTCTTAATACACTAAAGGAGAGTGCATATGAAAAGATCACTTTCTTCTTATAATATTTTAAGAATTTCAAATTCTCTAAGTGCTCTAAAAAAGAATCAACATAGCACCTTGCAACAGCAAAATCATTATCACAGAAAAATCAATAGAGATACTCTATGAGGAAAATACTGGCTCAGGTTTCCAAGGTTTACTGAGTAACGGGATCAGTAATACAAGAAATACTTTAAAAGCTAACAATGGCCCACAGAGGATGAAAATGGAACAATCATAAGATCAAAAGTTATCCACGCAAGTGAAGGTCAACTGATTTTTGATTACTGGTAACATAATTCTACAATTCTCTACCAATCCTAGAGATCTCATAAAATGAAGGCTATAAACTGAAAAAAGCTCCCCTTCATAAAAAGCATGGAAATACCATAATAGTAGCTCTGAGTGGTTTGGTTTCAGGGAATTTTTACATTTCTTTTTAGGCTTTCTGAATGTTCCAAATTTACTACACAATAGATACATATTACCTTTATAATCATACATTAATAATATTTATTATTTTTATTTTTTTAAAAAAATATGGGACTTAGAGTAATAAAACCATCCTTACCAATTTTACAGCCATAAACTATCAGCCAACAAGAAATAAAGACTGTGTGCTGCACCAATATGCACATAAGGACCACCTTAGTTTCCATCCTGGCTCTACCATTTGTTAGCTAAGTGAACTTGGACAAGTTAGATCTCTCAGTACATGTTTCCTTATCCATTAAATGGAAGTTAAAAACAATGCCTACCCCTAATATGTCTGAGAATTAAATGAGATGTTATATGTAAACTCAGAATAACTGACCCAGAGTAAGCTATTATTGTTGTTGTCATTATTATTACTTACATTGACACTACATATTATTTTGAAAAAGAAAAAATACCCTTAATAACCATCATTAGGGTAACAGTGGTCATCTATACAATAAAACATAAAAAGAGATACCCTTGTAAATAGTGGTGTGAAAAAAATCTCAAAACTAGAGTTAAAAAGCAATATTTATATATACATGATTCCATTTATAAAAATAGACACATACAAGCATACACAGCAGTTACATACATATATTAAGTCAAATGCATACACAAAGATCTAAAAAAAGATAGATGGACTGGCAAGAGTGGTCATGTTTAAACAGAAGAGAGAAATGAGAAATGTTAAGAAATATTTCCAAATAATATATACAATTAAGTTTTTAATTAGAAAAAGGAGCTATTATTTAATTGGAAAAATGAACTATTAAGTAACTGGTTCCATGTGAATAGAAGTTAATTATACCATCCTTGAGAATGCTTACTGATAATCATGGTGCTCAGAAATAGTATCTTAAACCAGGAAGTTACGTGTCTAGAAAGTGAAGGATCCAAATCTTCTGAGTAACAAACAAATGCTTTTCCAAATTATACCACATTGCTTTTAGCTTACTGATCTAAGAATTTTCCTATTATCTAATTATAGTTTAGGTCATCTTTACTGTCTAACATTCCTCATCTAATCTACCATTAAAATATTTGTCACGTAACTTCGAAATTTTCTGTATATACTTATATGAAACTCCATAGGTTTTTTACATTTTACCTATGGTGGTATGATTTATATTTTCCTTCCACTGATTAAAAACGTTGTTATATTTCCCTTATTATAATGAATACATACTATAAGATAGTAATAAATGCAACAATAGAGGTTTAAAAGAGTTACCTATGCCGCTGCCTAAGTTAATCAAAATATGTAATCTTTTTATATATTTCCTTGCAGTCTATATTTTAATGCAGATTGTTCACAAACTTTTAATCTTACCATATACACTTGACCCTTGAACAATGCAGAGGTTAGGGATACATATCTTCTATGCAGTCAAAAACTGATGTATTACATTTTAATATCTTTATGTTTACTTATTTAATTTTTGAGAGAGAGAGAAAGAGAGAGAGAGCAAAGAGAGAGCAAGCCAGGGAGAGTCAGAGAGAGAGGGAGATTGAAATCCCAATCAGGCTTCACACTTCCAGCACAAAGCCTGACACAGGGCTCGAACTCATGAACTGTGAGATCATGACCTGAGCCAAAACCAGGAGTCGAACACTTAACGACTGAGCCACCTAGGTGCCCCGACATATTACTTTTGACTCTCCAAAAACCTGACCACGTGCCTTACCAATATCATAAAGTCAATGAACACATGTGTATGTTATATGTATTATATACTGTGTTCTTACAATAAAGTAAAGCTAGAGAAAAGAAAAGAGTGGACCTGCACAGCTCAAACTTATCTGTTCAAGGTTTGACTATATATAAAATTGGGTTCACCTTCTATTATTTAATATTATAACACAAGCATTTTCCCATATTATCATGAAAGCTTAGCTCTTAACTTTGTACTTAAATCAGAATCCTGCTATTTATACTGATGATTCTGAAAACTTTATAAATTATAAATTGTGCTGATGAAACAATGAGAAATACAATTTACACATCTCTACAAATCACTATAAATGAAGAAACAGAACTTAGGCCAAAGCTTCCAGGCATCACAGTGCTTAAGGAGCTGGCAGAGAAAGAAAAGAACCTCTATCCACAAAAGTGCAGAGGGGAACTGGGTCCATAGCAAGAGCTTCTCTCCCCCTTCCTTTTCTTTACTAGACAGACCTAATGGCATGAAAATTGTTGCTTATTTAATCAGAAAGTTCATATCCATTCTAACTTTTTTATTCATTTTTAATTTACATTAATGCTATCTTATTATGGGCATTTTTTTTACATTAAATAATAAACTATTCCAGAACTTCAATTTCAAATGGTTTAGAATAAACTAACCAATCCTCTGTTGAAAAAATATATATATACTGGATGAAAAAAAAATAAATTTAATCTTTTTAAATGCATTGAAGAATTAGCAAAAAAAAAAAAGTTAAGAAATACAGAGATAAAAACTGAGTGAAAATAAGAATCATAGAAATAAGTGGAGCACTGACAGATGCTGGCTTTTAAGTACATTTGAAAAATGAAGTGGTCTGGTTTTCAAAAGAATGGTAAAAAATAAAACTATTAAAATAAAGAACTTCAGGCTCAGACAGTTAAGTGTGTGACTTCGGCTCAGGTTATGATCTCACGGTTTGTGGGTTTGAGCCCCACGTCAGGCTCTGTGCTGACAGCTTGAAGCCTGCAGCCTATTTTGGATTCTGTGTCTCCCTTTCTCTCTGCTCTTCCCCCACTTGTGCCCTGCCTGTCTCTCTCTCTCTCTCTCTCTCTCAAAAATAAATATTAAAAAAAAGATTTTAAATAAAGAACTTCAATCATCAAAAGACGACAAAACAAGATATTTGTGACATATTTAACTGACAAAGAATCAAGAATAAAGAAATACTACACACTAATTTAAAAAAAAAAGCACAATTAAGAGAAAATATTAACAAATGATTTCACAGAGTAGTTAGTAACCAGAACAGACAAATAGCCAATAAACACATGAATAGATGCTGGACTTCATTAATTATCAGAGGAATGCAATTCCAAATGGCAATAATACCCCTTCACATCGTCCAATGCAACAATTCCACCCCTTGGAATAGAAACTCTCACACAAGTATATGCACAGGCATGTATAAAAGAGGAATGCTGTTTCTACAGCAAAAAACAGAAAAAAAAAAACAAACCTAAATGGCAATAGGCGAATGGATAAATAAATAGCAGAAGGTCACACAAGGGTGTATTATACAGCAGTAAAAGTGATTATTACAATATACATAAATGAATCTCAGAAATATGATGTGAAAAATAAAAAGTCTCAGAAAAATACAATATACTTAGAAATAAAGAATAAATATGGTTTTAAATTATATTTTTAGAAGGTAAGAAAGATTAAACACAAAACGTTCAGTGTAGTAACTTCTATGGAGGTAGGAAGCATAAGTAGGGATGGGGCCCACAAGCATTTGCTATATCAATTTCTTCAGACCAGACACATTTAAGTATTCTTTTTAACTAACTCAAAGTAATAATAAAAAATAATTCTTTAAAACCGTTTCAGCTTTGGGGCACTTGGGTGGCTCAGTCAGTTGAGCACCTAACTTCGGCTCAAGTCATGATTTTACAATTCATGAGTTCGAGCCCCATGTCGGGCTCTGTGCTGACAGCTCAGAGCCTGGAGCCTGCTTCAGATTCTCTGTCTCCCTCTCTCTCTCTGCCCCTCCCCTGCTCGCACTGTCTCTGTCTCTCTCAAAAATAAATACACATTAAAAAAATAATAATTAAAAAAATTAAAAATTGTTTCAGCTTTTAGGGGTGCCTGGCTGGCTCAGTTGGGAGAGCATGCAACTCTCGATCTTGGGGTTATGGGTTCAAGCCCTACATTGGGTGTAGAGATTACTTAAAAATAAAAAGCTTAAAATTAAAAAAAAAAAAAAAAACAAAGAAAACCACATTTATTAAAAAAAACAACTTTCAGCTTTAGAAAAACTCTAAGTACAAGACAAAATCAAGAAGTCATGAAAGAAAAATAAATAAATTTAAATACATGAAAATCAAAATTTGCTCTAAGGCAAAAAAAGAACCCTATTAAGAAAAACAGCAATGAGGAGAAGGGGTCTTCAATTTATATCTTTAAAAAGGCTAATTTCCTAAATATGTAATGAGCTCCTATAAAGCAAAAATAATTGAAAAAAACAAAAAATCAATAACCCAAATTAAAAGGCCAAAGATATGAATACACAGTTCATAGAAAAAAATGTAAATGGCTTTTAAACAAAAAGATGCTCACTCATAATTAGAAAAATGCAAATTAAATTACTGTGAGATACATACTTTACCTGTCAAACTAGCAAATATCAAAAAGTATGATAAAATACTACTTTGTGGATTAGGGTGGAAAAAATATTCTCTTATTCTCATAATTACCTCTGGCTTACAAATTGGCATTGAGAGTATCAAAATTACAAATGCATCAAAATTACAAATGCACAAACCAGTGAATCATAAATTCTACTTTTGGGAATTTATGTATCACAGAATTTCTTGTAAATGTTCAAATGACTTTGCTGCATAAGCTCAATCAGCAGAAGACAAAATTATCTGAATTGTCTAATAATACAGGACCAATTAACTAATGGCAAATACAGTTTGTAGTCATAAAATAGTTCATTTGGAGATTTTTTTTTTTTTTTTTAAATGTTTATTTACTATTGACAGAGAGAAAGAGAGTGTGAGGGTGGCGGGACAGAAAGAGAGAGAGACACAGAATCCGAAGCAGGCTCTAGGCTCTGAGCTGTCAGCACAGAGTCCAACGTGGGGCTCAAACCCCTGAACCACGAAATCATGACCTGAGTGGAAGTCGGACACTCAACTGACTGAGCCACCCAGGCGCCCCTGGAGATTCTTGACATTATCCTGATATGAGAAGACAGCCAAGATGCACTATTAAGTGAAAAAACTAAGATTCACAACAGTGTCTATAGGATATTTTCTTTTTTTTTTTTTTTTTTTTTACAGAAAGAGAAGAAAGAAGGCTAGAGAAAGGAAGAAGTAAAGAGAAAGTAACTGGTATCGTTTGATGCCTTGGAGAGAAACTTGATGGCTAGGAAGGAGGGAGTTTTTTTTCTCACTGTATATACTTTTGTGTATTTTGTACTTGCAATCAGTGATTACATTTCCTATTTTAATATTAAACTAATAAAAATTTGTTACAACTATACTGCATACACTTATTATCTGCAAACAAGTTTCATTTTTACTTCTGGGGGAACTTGAACTTGGCAGTGCTTAAAAGAAAAAAAGATTCTAATCCTATATGAGGCACATTTTTTTCTTTTTTTGAGATTTATTAAGTTTTTTATTTTAATTCCAGGATAATTAACATACAGTTATATTAGTTTCAGGTGTACAAAGTAGCGATTCAGCAATTCTACACATTACCCCGTGCTTATGATGATTAGTGGACTCTTAATCCCCCTCACCTATTTCACCTATTCCCCCATCAACCTCCCCCACATAGTTTTCTTAACGTTGAACATTCCTGTTTGTTGAAGCTGGCTAAATTTTCTTCTGTGAAATAAGTTTTCTCAGCATTTTAAGAAAAATTGTGGAGTTGGTAAATGTTCTGTTTCATTCTAAAATCTGTGTCTAAAAAATGTGTTATGGAAGGGAAACAATCTTTGTTATTTAAGTTGGCCATACAACTTTTCAAATAACCTACCTCTTTCTGTACTTGCTCAATCTGTTTTTTCGCATCAGCCAGTTTCTCTTTCAGCTCAGCATAGTCTTCTTCCTTCCTCTGAAGATCTGCTTTCAGATTCTGGGTAAGAGCAGAGCTTGCAGAGAGTTCCTCTTTCAACCTAAAGAACACAAATCATGTTCTATAGTGACCACCACTAGACACATAAGATCATATGTGTAACTGCTAACGATCTACAAAATTCTCTATTTTCACAAACCTGGAATGTCCAATGAGTCCTTCAGAAAGGCTTTCCTGTGATTTTTATAAACAGATTTTTGCACATAACTTTGGGTTCCAAAGGTCTATTTGAACAAAGTTCAAGTTCTTTACTCATCATACATGCTATATTGTATTAGATTAAGTTATGCCCATCTATTATTTAAAAGCTACATAGGAAAACCAATAAAATAAATGCTTTGCACATTTTTAAATATTTTAATAACATTTATCTTACTTTTCTGCTTTTTCCCAGTTGGTTTCATTTTCTTCTTCCTTTAACTGAAGTGAATGCTTTGCATCCTGCAAATTATTTGTTAACTGTGTGATTTCTTCTTTCAACTTGATTTCCTTTTCACTTAAATCTTTGGTGTTTTTAATAGAATCCTGAAGATTTGCTTGAAATTCCTTCAGACTTCTCTCTAGCTTTGAGATGATAGATTCCTTTTCCAATATTTCTTGTTCTAACTTGGCTGAACGACTACATTCATCTTTTTGAGTTTCTAAGATTGCTTTAAGTTCCTTTATTTTCATCTTATAGCAAGTAACATCTTGTGTAAGTTCTGAAAGTGCTCTCTTCCCTTCAACTACATGCTGTACTTGAACATCAAGAGAAATGTTTTTTTCTTGCAATTCTTGTTTCAGCTGTTGTATAAGATTTTCTTTTTCTTTCAGTAGGTCACCTTGATTTTTATTCTCCCTCTCCTCTGTTTTTAGCCTATTGTTTTCATCCATACAGCCTCTTAATTCTGCCTGTAATTTTTCTATTTGTTGTTCCAATTCCTGGATCTGATGACTTTTTTTGGAAGAGGCTTTTACAATCTCCTTACACTCTTCCCAAATGGCCTCAATACTAGAGTGGAAAGAACTTTCCCTACCGAGTTCTTGAATATGATATTCGTTAACCTGCTTACTTACCAAACCATCATTATCTAAAAGGTGTAACTGTGTATTCTGTAAATTATCCTCTTGAAAGCCACTTGACAGATCCCGGAGATTGAGTAAATCTATGTTTGCGATCTGAGAAACTGAATCAAGCATTCGTAGTTCATCTATTTTTGCTTGCATTGCTTTTATTTGTGAAACATTAGTTGTGATATTTTTTCTAGCGGTTTCTATTTCCTTTGACAATTTCTCAATCTTTTCCTCCTGTTCTTGATTTATACCTCTCAGCACATGTAATTCAGAAATTGCATTATCATAATTTGACTGAATTTGTTGGACCTCAATATTTAAAGTCAAACTCTTCTTTTCAGAAAAAGAAAGTTCCTGCTGCAAACTAATGATCTTTTTGTTTAATTCTGCTTTTTCTTCCTTTTCAAGTTCATTCTCAGCCATGAGTAGACATGTTTTCAGTTCTTCATTATTTTCTTGTAAAATTCTAATGCCTTCCTCATCTTCTGAAATGGTCTTCTGCACTTCTTCACTTTTCTTTTCATCTTCAGTTGGAGTTACGTGGATAGGTCCTTTAAAAATAAGAAAACTGTTATTAATCTGGCAAACATTAATAAAACCAAAAAATTACCCTATAGGCCAATATTAAAACATACAAAAAATATGAAAGCAAACTTTTAATGAGAAACAGAAACAGGGCATTGAGTGAAAAAGAAAAAACAGGTTGCAAAACATACACCCACATAAGCCCATTGATGTAAAAATTATAGTTCCTTAAATTAATGCAGAAAGAGTTAGCAAAGGAAGCATGCCAAAATAGATGGTAGCTACCTGAGCAGGATTACCAGTTATTTCTCTTCTTTTTATAACTTTCAATATTATCTAAATTTTCTAATACAAGTCTTTGTTATCATTATAACATGGGACAGAGGGAAGGAAATCACATAATGAGACACTTAAGGTGGACATCCCAAACCTTAAAGAACAATTTTAAAGTACAATTGTATTACAGATCTACTGAATTAATGACTTGAAAACTGAGTACCTTATTTTAATAGCTAAAATTAGGGGGGAATCGTTGAAATTCTGAGAACTCTGATATTGCCTTACCCTTCTTCACTAGCTGTATAACTGTCAATAAACTCCCCAACCCTAAGACCACTTCCTCAAATGTAAAGCAGAAATAATAACATCACCTATCTCAGTTTCGACAGTATGGATACAAAAACAAGCCTTATCAGTAGATTTCTATTTTTCAAATACAATCCGTATTCATTTCCTTCACCTAATTGTCTAAATGCTCTTGGGTAACTGTGCAATCTCATTTCGGAATCCCAAGATCTTTCTTTAATACAGACTAATTTTAAAAGTACACTGAATAAGGTTTTATTATCTGTAACTCACATTGTGTCCTCTGCCTCATAGAGAGGGTGGGGAAAACATGGCATTACCCTTGCTGTATAGCCTCACTATCTTAAAAGCTGCTTAGTTTATTTTTGAAGCTTTTCTTATGTTTGTAGTTACATTTTCCCAATTTACTGCCTCAAGATTCTTAATTTATTCTAAGGATTCCAGCTACTCTGGAATCTTAAAGATTTACCCTATTTTTACAACAAACGAGCCCACTTCCTCTTACGGATTTTTTTTTTTTTAAATAATCTTCAACCAATAAATTATTCTTCCATCTGAGTGTCTCCTAACCTTTTACAAAGTTGGGGCAAGTCGTCCCAAAGTGGAATGATCCAGTCTCCACTGGTTCAGATTTCTGTTTTACTTCCCATTTCATGTAATTCTCTACTTGTCATGCTATATTTATACCTATGACTTCATCAGTGGAAATGACTAATTAAAAAAACTAAATGAGGATGATAAGAGTCCTGGACTTTTTTTTTCATAACTTAGAAATGTTTTTTTAAAAAAAGAATCCTCTTGCCCTTTAAAATGACAAGTTATAAAATTGTCTGAACCCTTCATGAGGAGAGATGGGATCTAAGCAAGTTTAAAATGAGAATAATCAGAAATTCAGAACTCACAAATAGATCCTATCTATCCTAAGTTGAGAAATTTGAGTCACGCATACCATATGGATATAGTCCCTAAACCCTCAAGTGAATACAGAAAGCTCAATAAAACTTTTGTGATCAAATAATGTTGTTCTTTTAATTTTACTATATTTCAAGACTGGGATAATTACATAACATAAGGTAAATAAAATGAATTTGTTTTGTACCTGATTTTTTTTTCAGATACTCATACTGTTCTTCCAGAAAATTTTAAATGTTTTCTATCAAAAGATTTATACAACATATTCAGAACTGCCTTGTCAGGGAGAAATTAAAGTATTAGTCAAGCAACAGAGATGGGAAAAACTCTTCAGTATCTATTGTTAACTTATAAAAACTACACATAAACAATAAGAATGCAGTTAACACTTTAATTCAGTATTTACACTATACTCAACTTATACGTATACTGCTTACTGTATTTTGTTATAACAGGTACAGTTTTGATTGAACAATTGCAAGTAAGCAGACTGTATCATGTCTCTAGTTTGCCTCCTTTATTGCTACCTGAAGGCTTATTTCTTAGACTGTTTACATGGTTACCAGCTTTCCCAAAGTACAGATACAGTGACCTCAGACAAGCAAGTTCACTTTCATAGGAAAATTGCTTTGCATTCCTTTTTAAAAAGAGAAAACATGCATCTATGAAACACTATCAACCCCCTGATCCTATCCTAGTGGTTACAGGACTCACATATTTTATTTCAGAGATTTTAGTAGAAGTTAAAGGGGAAAGATGGTGGTTATAACTATGATTTTCATAGGGTATCTTACATATATATATTCCTTGTAGTCTCTAATAACATAAAAAATTGAGAAATGGCCAAGTGGTTGTGAATTTAAGGAGAAAAAAATATTTTGTTGTATTACATAAACTTACTTAAATCTACCCATATCAAAATTATTTATGCCTAACAACTACAGTTCTTAAATACTCTTCATGAAAAGGTTACCTTTAGGATTAGTCCCACTGTGTGTATTACTTGCTCCCGGCCACTTCCACTTCCTAGTGACCTACTGATCCTACGTTCTCAGCTACTCTATGGCACAGACCAAAGCAAAAGAGGGAGAGGAACAGTGTGCTATGGAAAATCACAGCAAAGGCATCCCTCCTTCAATGCATAACAGAAGGCATATGTTTATTATGTCTTGATCTATTAGCTCACATGAGCACCACACATCCTATAAACCATATATCTAATGCTATATTATCCTCTAAGGCATTTACTTTTGTAAACATTCATTTCACTGAGGTTCTATAAGGTTTATCATGTTGGTATACTACCCACTGCCTTCATCTTTGAAAACCTCAGGAGGCAGGTAGTACTTATTTTATTTTGCTAATGACCAAAGTTAAGACTTAACTTACCCCTTTTCTCAAGGTGAAACAGCTAGGCAGGTTGCTAAAGTTTATAAACCTTTCGTAGAAAGCCCTTACGCCCTGTATCATACTACAAAAGTTTTCCAAAAAAAAACAATGATTTTCTTAGAGAGAACATAAAAGTTGATATATTCTTCCACATAAAGAGACATACATTATACAGTAAGCACGCACCCACTTTTTAGTAATTCTACAGTAAATGCAATAACTCAAGCACATTTGTCTTTGGTACTGTTCAGCTCGAAGTCTTACTGTCAAATGTCCTTTTATAGAAGGAATAAAGAATACAAAGGGAGAAAACAGTGTGGAGAGATTTGGGCATGAAAAGATACCGTATTTATTTATTAAAGAAGACTACCATTAAGCACAGAAGTAAAAAGAATCATAGGCATGCAAAAGAGTGATAAAAACACAGTATCTAAAATTATTTTATTAAAATAAAAGACAGCTGTAAATACGCACACCCATCCTCCAGGCAGTTTATAATGTTAGCATAAAAATCAGTGACATTTACATTTCCTCAGGTTTTTTCCTTAGATAAGTAAATTTCCTATTTGCAACTCTGTCCATTACTGGTTTAGGAATTAACTTTCTGAAAGCCCTCCTGCTGACAAATAAAGTAGTACCTTTCTTTGCTGGCGGTTCTTCTGGTTGAAGTTCATTTTCATTTTGTCTTTTTCTTCCCAAATCGGTTTTGGTTTTGTCATCCTCAAGCACCTGAACTGTTTCACTATAAGCCAATGTATTGCTTGTTATTAAAGAAGAGGTACCAGCCTGGTCCTAAAATAAAATAATTAAGATTAGTTCACATACAGAAAGCTACAATACATGTAAAAGCTATATAAATGTTTCAGTGGTGTATCATAAAAATTTTATTTTCAAATCAGTAGAAACATTTTCTAATTTATTTCTTAAACCTCACCCTAAAATAACTGACGGCTCTGGCAAATGAGTAATATTAACTAACTTGTACACTCTCTAAGGAAAACAAAAATACTTATCTTAAAGTCAGTTAAGCATGTAGTTTCACCCTGATACCGAAAATCAAATTCATCATTAGTGGGTTTAGACCTGCATGGGGATAAATGGAGAACCCTAAAACACTTACCTTTAAGTCACATTCCAAATGTGCTTCGAAAAGAAAAATACAAAAATACTACCACAAAACTGTTTCTTACAGATGGCTAAACTTAAAATCTTGAGGTCCCCCTCTAGAAACTCTGCAAGTTTTGTTTTGTAATCAAAGCCTCTCAGAGATAAGCAGCACCTTCTTATCTTTAACAACTCCCAGAAAAATAGTTTAGGCCTTAGCTTCTAAGCCTATGTATAAAGATATACAGTCCACATACAGCTTTAAAACTGAGCCCCCGGTTTATCTAAACAATAAAAATCACTTAGATTTTTATTTTTTAACACAAATACTATGCCTCCCTAAAAGGTTAGCAGAAAACAAAGATAGAATATACTGTTCTCCAGAAAGAGGAAGGATGAAACTCAGTAGTTAGGTGTATAAAGTAATCAAAAGTATGGTAAAGGCAGGGACTTTTTTTTTTTTTTTAATGCAAAGATTACTTAAATCCCTACATGCTGGTAGCAATCCATGTTGGGGGGAAAAAAAGTGTATGAAAAAAACAAAATGCCATTTTATACCATAAAATAAAACATTTTATTCAGAAGATATAAATGAGATGCCTTTTTTAAATTACAAAGTAATGAGGGTTTTTTTTAGAAGTTTTTTTTAGCTATCCCTAAACAGAGGAGGATGTCATGACGAAAAACCTCCACGCGTTTTCACAATTAGTCCCCTGGTGTCACTGAGAAATAACAAAATCCTGGAATAGACAGATCACACGGCTGACAGAGCCTGAGAGTTTTCATTCAAACACTCCATAACAGGATCAAGTTGGCTCCTTCCTCACTGTTAGACCTATCAAAATGGTATGATCATTTTTTTCCTCCTTCAAAGGATACAACTTCACCAAAAAAAAAAAAAAAAAAAAAATCTATCCTCCACAACTCATTTACTGAAAAGAGTCTTTTCTGCCCCTAGAGTATGCTTTTGGATGGAAGGATGATCAAGAACCGACATTCAAGACAAACTTTTTTATCTTTCAGAAGAGTCTGCTTTCAAGACAAGCTTTGGAACAGTGACCCTAGATTAACAGTTTAACAGCACATCCAGGCTAAGTCCCAAATTACTTTGCATTTGCTTACATATTTATGTGAACAATACTGCACACTGTTTTAACTTGGTTGATAACACAATCTAGAACCCATCTAAAAAGTTTATTTACAGGCAAGGGCTATTAAATTAGGAATATGGCTTATTTTATAGTGCTCTCTCACTATTACTTAAACATTACTGACACACTGTGGTATACAAACAAACATACTACAGAAATAAATATAATTCTACCTTAAATTTCTAATAATTCTCTTCGAAGTGGTAGTCGTCAGTGTGATCTGTCTCTGGCTTTTTTTTCTTTTTTGTATTTTCCTTCACCAAACCAAATAAGACTTAAAATGCAAATGAAGTGATTAGAGCAAAAGCATGTGGTGACTAACCAAACAAAGGTGCTGAGAGAGTCTGGAGGCCCAGCAATTCAGTTACTGTAAAAAGTCAAGCCCCAAGTCCCAAAAAGTCTTACCTCCCCTTATTTCACAAGTCAATTTTCTCTTCTTAATCTCTATCACCACTTTCCAATGACCCTTCATCAAAATTCTCATCAACCATCACCTGACTCTTCCAAGATGCTTCTCTGGTCTCTCTGCCTCCAGTCTAACTCCATCCCAATCCCATCCTACAAGTTTCCAAATACATCACTCAAAATAAAAAATCAACTTTGCTACTCCTCTCCTTAAAATTAACGACTCCTCACTGCCCATAAAATAAAATCCAAACTCTTTAGTGCAGTATTTAAGGACTTCCATCATCTTACCCAAACCCACCACTCCCAGATTCATTTCTCACCTCTCCTTGCTTTTAAACTTTCTTCTTGAATAAATGCTTGTGCTTTCCTACAGTGACTGAAAGACTTCTCACTTCCATGACTTTGTACATTGATTCCTAAACCTGAAAGGCCAGCCTATTTTCTTGTCTATCACAGCTACAAACTGTCCCCTCCCCCTACTTTCAACTGGCTGAATTTTAGTCACCCTTTATGGCTCAACTAAATCATTTTAACCTCCAGAAAGTATTCCCTAAACCTCTACCTAGTCTCAGCTTCTTGCATATAGTGACTACACTGCACATTTCATTGTAATTATGTTTATATGGTTTCTCTCTTACTGAGGAGTCATTAAGGGGACTAGTTTTTATTAACCTATATAAGTCTCAAAATCTAACAAGGTACCTGGCATCCAGTAGACACTCACAAGTGTTTCTTGACTAAAATAAGCCGTTTTATGCTTCTTATCCTTTCTGTCCTCCTTATTACAAGGGTGTCTTTCCCAGTTCAGGTACAAAAAAAGTCAGATAGCCTGAATAATGCATCTAATAAATAACAAAAGACAGGCCTGCTACCAGAGATTAGACAGAAGGTAAGCTACTCTTCTTATATACCTATGCAGTATCAAAAGCCCACCTAATGTTGAGATGATTCAGAGAATATTGGTGGGTAATGGACCTTGACTGTAAACATACAAAGGACAGTCAACAGTCACTTTTTACAAGACACCAACCCTGACTCATCTGGTCAGAGAAAAAGACCTACAAAAGCACCTCCAAACAAAGCAGAGAGGTTTGGCTATTAGTTTACTCAGCCTATTATGTTATGTCTATATGTTCTGACTTTTTTAATTCAAAAAATAATCTAAAGGAGTTTACAATAAAAAACATAAAACCAAAAATCATTTTTTAAACAAAGGATTAAAAGGCATGCTGATTATCCTAAACTAACTAAACATGAAATTACCTAAGTTTGTATGTATCAAACCCTTAAAGGCTTTGTATGGCACACAATACATGATGTAATTTTTTTAAAGAAAATATCCTTGCTATTATTAAGCATACGAACATTAGCAAAAATGCATATAATAAAAAAAAAAAGCCTCTAACAAAAAAAACCTAATTTCAATGATTTTCATTTTTTTAAAATGTTCATTTATTCATTTTGGAGAAAGAGTATGAATGCATGCGTGGGTTCAGGGGAGAGACAGAATCCCAAGGAGGCTCCACACTGTCAGCATAGAGGTAGGCATGGGGCTCCAACTCATGAACCATGAGATTGTGACCTGAATGGAAATCAAGAGTGAGTTGCTTAACCGACTGAGCCACCCAGGCAGCTTCCACCATTGAAGTTCATTTAAAGTTCTATATAGAGATACAGAAATATAGATACAGTGATGGAAGTCTTTATGATCTGAAGATATCTAAGCACATGAAGTTCCTTTTGCCCCAGAGCTCCCCTTCCAAGGGGCTATGTGTTCTTCTCTCTCATACATGTAAAGTACTGCCAGCATAGTCTGTGGGATATTATGTTCAAAGAGGTCAAATGTTCTCCTGCAAGTTACTCAAAAATTCAGATTTGCACAAGAGTAAACTGAATTTCAACACCCAAATAAACAATTCGACATTCTTAGTAAATTATTTTTAGCTATATGAGCTATTTTAAATTATTTTATTTTGAACCAAAACATAGACTTTTTAATGTAATTTGTAAGGCAGACAAACAAAGTTAAATTCTTACACTGCTTATAAACGTGTTATCCGTATGAAATTTTAGGTTTTGAAATTTATTGATTGTATCCTCTTTTTGAGCAATCATATCTCCCAACTCTTGAATTTTTTGATTCTGCATAAGTATTGTCTTTAAAGAGAAGAAAAACAGCAATGTTTAGTAAATATATTCTAGGATAGATAAAATGCAAATAGGATATAATTTTAGAATTCCTTCAAATTTAAAACGAAGTAAAAATACCAGTAGCAACACACCATGCATAGTATGACCTTATTTTTGTTTAAAAATTATATATATTTACATTAAAAAAAAAAAAAGAAAAGCAATTTAATGAATTGAGTAAGAGGAATCTGGAATCAGACCATCTGAGTCTGAACCCTAGCTTCTCCACCTTCTAGTTGTATGATCCTGGCAAGCTATTTTATGTCTCTGTACAAATAAAAAATAACAGTATCTACATCACAAAGTTGTTCTGAGATGTAAAGCACTTAAAAGAATACACAGTAATGTTCTATACAAATAAATACATATAAAGTAAAAGTCTAAAAAAGATACCAACCAACTTGGTTTTCCCATTTTTATTTAGGACAAAGATTATGGGGGATTTATTTTCTATTTTACATATAACTGAATTTTCACAACTAGGATCTACTATTTTTATAACTAGAAAAAATAAAGGAAAAGATTAGGAATCATCCAAACACTAGCTGTAGTGTCTTCTGCTAAGTACATTATTTTGGTTATTTCTTCAAATACTGGATATTAGATACCAAAGATCTTATTTATGTCTAATCATATCTTAAAATATTTAGCTCTTTAGAAGGATAAATATAAATTGATATAAGACCCATGCCAGAGAAGGTCAGGAAAAATAGCAAGTTTAGAGCTCTAAGTTCACTACATGTGCATGTATGCTTGTAATTTCATATTTAGACCTATCAATGTCAAATCCATCTACAACCACTTGGAATGATTATCTGATCTAAAGATACAAGGTGCCGAAGATCTTCAGAATTCAATGCTGCACACTGATCAGGCCATATCTCATATTTTACAACAGTAATTTTAGGTGAAATAAACACCATTTAAATGCATCCAACTAACACTATGCACCCACCGAAAGAATAACACAGATCTTTATGTGCTGACGTACAATTACATCAGCATGATCTCCAAGACACCTTTTGATGGAAGAAAACAAGACACAAAACTAATTAATCCCATTTGTGTAAACTTTTCAAAAGATGTGTGTATGTGTTTTCTATATATAAATAAATATCTTCTGGAAAGACTGAAGAAACTTTCTAGTTGCTATCACTAAAAAAAGGCCTGAGAGTGAAAGCACTTATAATTTTCAATTTTTTTAATCACATTCATTTATTTTTTAATTATCTTTAAAATAAATGTACCTTGTCATAATTCATGCTCCTTCAATTGCTTAATTATTAAGTTCCTTATCAAGACAAAATAAAACTTGAAGTATTACCTTATTAGATTTCTCAAGCTCTTGAACCAATGAATTCATGTTAATTTCTGATTCTGAAAAAATAAGAATATTGAAAACAAATATATAAGCATCTAAAAAATATATTACTGTATAATCATTGACACATAAGCTTCTATAGTTGACCTAACACTAGTGTTACAGTCAGGAAAAATGATTTTCACAGCCACTAGAAGCACCCAGGACTCAGTTACTAATTCTACCACCAGAGGGCAAGGTTTCTGTAAAAGCCACTTTCAAAATCCAATCCAAGGTAAAAACGAATGACCTATGTTAAATAGTGAAAAATTTCTGGTGTAATTTCAGAGATGAAAATAGAAGCTTTTCTATTTTCATAATGTAATGTATGAAATACATTCATAATGTAAAGGCACCACTTATATGATATTTTCTACCCATCTTGTTTCACACAGAAAAGGGCAGAACATGTCCTCCAGCACTTTTAAAAACCAGATATGACAAGACATTGAGTGTGTGTGTGTGTGTGTGTGTGTCTGAGCTGGAATGGAGCACCAATGTAACAAACTTAAAATCACTCCATAGGAGTTACTCTATCCCAAACTTACAAGCCCAGAGCAGAATCTACCACACTATGACAGAACATAAAAAATACAGAACAAAATTCACAGCTTTACAATTTCCTAAGATTTCTTTATTTGCTGATAAAACTAATGCTTCATTTGGTGTTTGTTGTTCTTGTTGGTTTTGAGGGGTCCACTTTCTACTTTCTATTAACATTAGCCTAAAAGTAAATGAAGGCAAAAAAAATTTTTAATAGTAAATTAGTACAAAGCCATTAAAATGTTAAAATATTAAATGATGCCTAGATCAAAGAATTTTCTAGTCAGTACAGTAAATACATAAATAAGCATCTGTTTTACTCACCGACTATGTTTTTTATGCATTTGTAACATCTAAATATGGATAAAATACATCTACTTACCATTTTCTTTCTTTTTTAACTCTTCCTGGATTTTGATTAATTCTTCTTTGGTTTTAGCTAAATCAGCTTTAACTTGATTAAACTTTATTTCTAAACAAGCAATAGCTTCCTGGGGGTCAGCAAGAGATGCAATATATAAGTGAGCAATTTCAGCCTGTTTCTTAATATCAGTGACATCATCTTGAAGGGAATCAATAATATCTTCAATTCCTACATAATTATGTGCTTCCTAAAAACAGCAAAAACCACATGCCTAATGTTAACAGTGGCTTTCACTCTTGCAATGTGGCACTATCTAATTTCGACAGTTTTAAGAACACATAGCAAAAAAATTCACAATTTAGAATTTTTTTCAATAAATTGTATCAAAATATCTCTAATTATTAAAAAGCTGTGTTCCATTACTCATGACTATTTTATGGAACATGAGACACAGTTTCCCATAAAAAAAATGTCATAAGTTGTGAGAAATCCTTCTAGAACAATTATGACTGTCAGTTCAGGTATACTTTGTTATATAATGTCTCATAAGGGCTTTGGTGGGACAGCTAAGGAAACAAACCTCCATCATCACAACTCAGACCCATGTCTAGGATACATAAACATGATTTGACAGCAAGAGCCAGGACATCACCATCCCAGGCCCCTAAACTGAGTTATTAAAAAAAAAAAAAAAAAAAAAAATCAAACAACCCCCAAAAGACATCAATTTCAGTGGAAGCAGAAGAAGGGTATGTTTCCTCAAGGGCAGGGAATGGTCAATCAGCCAACAAGAGCAATCCTGTTTACATATAAATGATTTTGCTTTAATCAGAGCAAAATTATTTAAAATGGATACAAGTGAGGCTAAAAGGAATCTACCTACAATCAATACATCTAAAAAGCAACACAAAAGGAGATATAAACATGACACATAATTTCTCTCTAGTCTAATAGCTATATTTAACTAATTGTGCTTCCATTACTAACAAAGCATGCTTAATTATAATAAAGCTACATAGTAAGTATTTTAATTCTAAAGTATATTAGTGTTTCTCATCACTGATGTGGTACACTACACACAGATCAAACACCTCACTGGACTTCATATTTCAGTTAACATACTTTGTTTTCAACTTTCATGACACAATCTTCATTCTCTGGTTCTTCTTGAGTGTCACATTTACCAACCAAATCCTTGAAGATAGCCAAACGACATTCAGCATTTTCCTCAAGTATCTCTCGTTCCTGAAGGAGAGTTTCCCTTCATAACACAAATTAATCCCATTAGGAAACATAAAAGCACAACTTTGTGTTTTTGTTTTGAATTTGTAAGATTAAGGATACATGCACCCCTATGTTTACTGCAGCATTATTTATAATAGCCAAACTATGGAAGTAGCCCAAGTGTCCATTGATAGATAAATGGATAAAGATGTGGTGTGTATACACACACACACACACACACACACACACACACACACACACACATATAAACAATGGAATATTATTCAGCCATAAAAAAGAATGAAATCTTGCCATATACAACAACACAAATGGAGCTAAAGGGTATAACGCTAAGCTAAATAAGTCAGAGAAACACAAATACCATATGATCTTACTCATATGTGGAATTTAAGAAACAAAACAAACGAGCAAAGGAAAAAGAAAAAAGAGAGACAAACCAAGAAACAAATTCTTAACTATACAGAACTGATGGCTACCAGAGGGGAGGTGGAAGGGGGCATGGGTCAAACAGATGATGGGGATTAATAAGTACATTTATCAGGGCACCTGGGTGGCTCAGTCGGTTAAGCATCCGACTTCAGCTCAGGTCATGATCTCACAGTCTGTGAGTTCAAGCCCTGCATCGGGTTCTGTGCTGACAGCTCAGAGCCTGGAGCCTGCTTTAGATTCTGTGTCTCCCTCTCTCTCTCTCTGCCCCTCCCTCGCTCTCTCTCTCTCTCTCTCAAAAATAAACAATAAAAAAAAGTTAAAAAAAATAAGTACACTTATCATGATAAAAAAGTAAATAAAATAAGAACTAAATTTCTAAGATTAAATTTATTATAAATTAAAAGCAGAATTTAAATCATTCATGTACAATTCAGAACCACTGTCAAGATTAGCAACAGCTACTCTCAAGGCTGAAAGAAGAGGTCAGAATTCAGAAGCCACTTAATATAAAAAAAGTAAATAAAAAATTCTGTACAAATAAAATTCTCAATTTTTACTAGGACATGAAATAAGTAACTTACTTAAAATCAGCTTCCCGCTGAGCTAAATACTGAGTAAACTCCTGTGTAACTTCATCACGAATTTTAAATTCCAATGTTAACTTTTCCTTTCTTTCAGTTATCAGTTTTTTTTTCAAGTCTTCTATTAAATCCAACAGTTTCTAAAACATAAACATTAACATCCTAAGAACAAATATATCCCAAGGGAAATATTACTGTCCAAGTATTCAAAAATAACTCTTTAGTTGACTATAATTATGCATCCTTTTAATAATGATAATATTCTCACTGAAAATTACATATGTGCAGAGACTCAGTAATCTGAAAAGCCTCTCTACATTTTAAAAATACACTTACAGTAACTCAGATGTCTCACTGTATGGCTACACTAAGAAAAAAAAGGACAAAAAATCTGAAGATCCATTATCCACCAGGAACTACTCTGGGGACTTCATATTCGATGCCTTTCAATCCACATAACCTTCTGTGAGCGTGGTAGCAGCATCCACACTTTGTAGGTGGGGAAGGTAAGGACCAGGTTTGTGGAAAGTGGTAAAGGCTGGATTTTAACTTAGTCAAGATCTAAAGCCTAAGTGTCACACAGAGTAGTTACTGAGAATCCCAAACACATTCCAAAATGGAAAAAAGAGATGTTTCATAAACTTATTTGGTGAGCAACAACTCCAAAACCCTGGAAAAAGCATAATATGTAATATGGACAATGAATAAATAAGGCAATTAACACTTGACATGGCCAGTATAGATCTGTAATAAAATATTATAGCATAACAGCCTGATAGTCTTTTAAGATTTCTACTTAAACTTTCTCAACAACAAATTTACCCAATAAACTCTCTCAAAACTACAGATCTTTCAATGTCTCAATTTGATATTGAAAATATTTCCATAAATATCCTAACTTTGAAATCCTGGTTCTAAGAACCTACACCGAAGAAATACTTCTATACCAGGACCCAGTGTTCTGGCTGTGAAAATGGTTATCAGTGTTATTGTTTTAAGATAGTGATTGTACTTAATCAAAGGAAAAGTGAAACCCAACTCAACAGTCAAACAAAAAAGATTGGTTCAATTATGGTACAATCATACAGCAACCTACTGTAATGAACAATGACATATTAATGCATACTTTGTACCATTTTTTTTTTATGTGCAAAAAAGTCAGGATACAAAAGAATAATGGATAGGGGCGTCTGGGTGGCTCAGTCAGTTAAGTGTCCAATTTTGGCTCAGGTCACAATCTCACTGTTCATGAGTTCAAGCCTGACATCGGGTTCTCTGCTGTCAGCACAGAGCCCACTTTAGATTCCCTGTCCCCCTCTCTCTCCCCCTCTCCTGCTCACACTTTCCCTCTCTCTCTCTCTCAAAATAATAAACAATTAAAAAACAAAAGGGTAATGTATAGTAAAAATCAATTAACATGAGTGGTATATAGAGAGATCTTTATATTTAGTTTCCTTTTCTTTTTCCAGATTCCATCATGATTAAATAATACTTTTATAATTTCAAATGACTACATTTTCCCACTGTTAATTTTTTTTTTTAATGTTCATTTATTTATTTTGAGAGAGAGAGATCTCATGAACCAGTAGATCATGACCTGAGCCAAAATCAAGAGTCAGACGTGGGGCACCTGGGTGGCTCAGTGGGTTCAGTGTCCGGCTTCGGCCTAGGTCATGATCTCACCATTCCGGAGTTCGAGCCCCGCATTGGGCTCTGTACTGACAGCTCAGAGCCTGAAGCCTGTTTCAGATTCTGTGTCTCCCTCTCTCTGCCCCACCCCTATTCCCTGTCTGTCTCTGTCTCTCTCAAAAATAAATAAACATTAAAAAATAAAGGAGCATCCTCAGTTAAGTGTCTGACTTCAGCTCAGGTCATAATCTCACACCTTGTGAGTCTGAGCCCCGCGTGGGACACTATGGTGACAGCTCAAAGCCTGGAGCCTGCTTCTCTCTGCATCTCCCCCACTCGTCTCTCTCTCTCTCTCTCTCTCTCAGAAATAAACATTTAAAAAACATTATTAAAAAATACCACTGTTCAATTTTATGCATTTACCATACATGTAAGACAACCAACCATCCTGTTTTTGAAGAAATAGAATAACTGGTACTAGGCAGACACTTTGAGTGCTTTTACCTGAGTGCAAAGTAAGTTTGGTAGATTATGCTAAAATCACTGAGTGAAAGGATACTAAGGAAGAAGATACTCACATGGTCTCAAACTATCATCCCGCAGATGATACTTTGAAAATATAAAGAGATCTGAAACACAATACCTTAACCAAATGAGCAAAACTTAGCATCACCAAGAATGGGGGATTCAGACATCATGTGTCTCCTGATAGGATGCAATGGAAAATTTACAACTTGACCTAAATAATAGGCTGTGTATAGTGTAAAACCTGAATCATGAGGAAACAATCAAAGAAACTGAGATTGAAGGTGCTGTACAAGACAACTAGCCTCAACTTCTCAAGAATATCACTGTTAGATTACAAATAACTAAAAGAAACATACCAATCAAAAACAATGGTTAACTTTAGTTGAAGCTCAAAAACATAATGGCTGGGCACCTGGGTGGTTCAGTCAGTTAAGTGTCAACACTTAATTTTAGCTCAGGTCATGATCTCATGGTTCAAGAGGTAGAGCCCCACATCATGCTCTGCACTGACAGCCCAGAGCCTGCTTGGGATTCTCTCTCTCCCTTTCTCTCTGCCCCTCTATTGCTCATGCACACAGCATGGGTGCCTATGTGCACTCTCGCTCTCTCAAAATAAAATAATTTTTAAAAAATGACTATAAAGGATATACTGGGACCACCGAATAAATCTCAATATGGACAATATAATAGATTATATTATTATATCAATGTTAAATTGCCTAGGTATGAAAATGGTGTTGTGATCATAAGGAATATGTCTACATTGTTAGGAAACACATGCTGAAGTAGTTAGTTGTAAGGTGCCATTATGTCTACATCTTGTTTTCAAATGGTACTGGCAAAAAAAATGTGCATTCACATACACACAGAGAATTAAACATGGTAAAATGTTAACAACTAGCAAATTCAGGTGAAGTATAAATGGGTTTTCATTGTACTAGTCCTACTGTACATTAAATTTTTTCAAGACATAAAGTTGAGGGGCGCCTGGGTGGCTCAGTTGGTTAAGCATCCAGCTTCGGCTCAGGTCATGATTTCATGGTTCAGGAGTTCAAGCCCCACATCGGGCTCTGTGCTGACAGCTCAGAGCCTGGAGCCTGCTTCAGATTCTGAGTCTCTCTCTCCCTCTATCCCTCCCCTGCCCCCGCTCTGTCTCTCAAAAATAAATAAATGTTTAAAAAATTAAAATATTAAATATATACACATATATATATATATACATATAAAGCTGAGGTACATAACAAACGTAGCATGTTGCTGAAAAAAACTGGAAGAGAGGGAGTTGTAGGTATTGTTAACCCTAACTTTCATAATAATAATAAGCCAAGCTTAGAAATACGAGTTCTTAATACATACCCTCTTCTCCTCATGGCTACTGAAAGCCTTATCTTCCTCCAAAGTCTTATTTAGATCTTCATCAGTACGTTCACTTTCCACACTTTGGTTTTCTTCACCTTTTTCTGGATCCTCAATTAAATCTTCATCTTCCACCAGGTCTTCTAGACTACTTTCCCATGAAATCGTGGATCTTTTTACATTTAGTATTTTATTAACTGAATTATTAATGTCTAGGGATACATCTTGAGAAGATTTGACAGGTCCAAATGGTTTCTCTTGAGAAGAATTTAAAGCGTCTGGAACACAAACCTGTAAAAATATCCAATGTGACTTTTAAAACAGAAAAGGAAAAACTGTCAACTAAAAAAGAAATCCATAAATTTGAGTCAAATAAAAATTCTAGTGTTTAAAAAAGACCTATCTATGCAAACATACAAGAAGGACTCCTAGCAGAAGGGCTTCCTGATTAGCCATGAAGTGAACCAGATGGATGGCAGAGCAGACGGACAATTCACAATAATACTCGTAATTTGTAATGAGTGTGTATTATGAACTCTTATTACTAAGGTTATCCTAATACTAGCAAGGGAAACTTTCAATCTTTTTAATGCCCTCTTACTTGATCAAATATTCACATTTCTAATTTTCAATTATTTCCCAGGTTTTCAGTTATAAGTACAAAATGGGTTAGTTACACCAAGAAAAAATGGTTCATATTCTGGTAAGAAACTTAATAAATCCTGCAGAAATTTGAATATATTTACTTTTTGTGCAATGGCTGAGAATTTCAACACATTGAGGGTTTCATCATAGGCAAAATAACACTGGCTGATGTTGACAATCATGCATATTTTCCCTTTACCATTAAAAAAACTTTGAAAATAGTGAGTCAGTTTACTTTCCCGGAAAGGCACATGCTGTTGAAACCTATGGAAAAAATTTTCAAAAAACCATAAGTTAAAACAAATCTCATAAAGTCAGAATGCTGATAAAATTTACAAAGAAATAATTAATCTAGCTATCACAGACTTAAACTCTAGGTTAGTGATTAGTTCTGCCCATAAAAGTCATTTTCTGTTTATTTATGTTCTTTTCTTTAAATATTACTACTAATACGAAAACTAACAATAACTCAGTATGCAAAATGTTAAGAAAATCACATTGAACTGGGTTGTATTTTCTAGGGTAAAGCAATTATACAAGATATGCCATGAAACACATTAACTAAAAATGAAGGCTAATTACAATTTACTAAGCCTAAAGTGTAATTAACGCAGAAATCTTATCACATCTAGAACACAAGGCATTAGTAAGAATAAAGTGGTTTTAGATGCTAAACCAGGATCATAAGATTATCCAAAATGCCTGTTGACATATATTTGCTATGGAAAATACTGTTTACTTGATGAGTCACTGGCATCAACTAACAATATTTTTTACTTCCATTTTTTAAATCCAAGAATTCTAAGTATTTCAATTGTAATCCATATATAGTCATCACATAGGAAGCAAGTTAAAAACAAAAAAGAACTTTCTAAAACTGGAGTTGAAAGTTTAAACATTATAACACTTAATATGCTAATAGCACTTTCAGCAACACTTACTTTGACTTTTCACTGTTTTTCAAAACATTGATACACTTTCCCAGAGTCAATAAAGAAGTATTGATGTTCCCAGTCTCTCTTAACCTTTCCCCTTCATTCTGTGTCTTCAGGCTTCTTTCTGAACCAGCAAGATCACATAAACACAATCTGAATTAACCAAAAAAAACAAAAAAACAACAAAAAAAAAAAACTATGAAAAGTTCATTTCTTCAAAATGAAACAATTCAAAATAATTAAGAGTTAAAGAATGCTCAACTTACTCACTGACTCGCATTACACGAGGCATTTCAGAATCTTCAATCTGTAATATTCTAATAGTGAATATGCTGTGACTAAAAGAAATATACAAAAATCAAATGTTATCTTTCATTTTTAATTTCTGCATTCCATCTGGTGAAACCAGCATCCAAATTGACATCTATTTACACCCTAATACTAGCCATACCTCCAGCACTGCATTTTCCAACCAGTTGCCAGGTATTCCAATCCCATGTTCCATTGTCACCTAAATACCTAACTGCCTAAAATCATATATCTTATCTTTCATTCAGCCCCGTATTCCCTGAACCCTCTCCTTCTCTTAACATTCCACTTCTGTTAGTGGAATCATTTACAATAAAATTTCAATTTACTTTGCAAAGATCGTATTATTAGTTAAAATGGTATACAGACTGCTAATCTTCTACCTAAAGCAAAGCATACATTTGGCCCAAATACAGGCTTACCTGGATCATATACTATCTTCATGCCATACTAAGTATGGAAGACAGGGCTCTTTCCCCCTTAAGAGACAACCTGTTTTAAATATCTCACTGTTTAAACTTATTTCCTTTTGTCTCTCAAGTCCCAATTCCTTCCCTCAAAAACATCATTCCTTAACCTTGAGATGTATATTGTAGGCAACTCTTAAAAGAGAGCTTAGATATTCACATAAAGAGTAAAAATACCTAAACGACTTTATGTAAATTAGTAAATTTTATGTTAGAACAAGAAATAGTTCAGATAATCTTCTGTGCTTTAGTGCTCCTCAGTTAACAGAATACTTTTTATGCCTATGAATTCATCTAACATATCAGAGAGACTACTGCCCAGTTCAATCTTAAATTAGTTGTATTTACAATAGCACAGAATACCCTGGGTACTTCAAGCTCACACCACAGTGTTTCTTCTTTACCTTCTACTAGAAGCATTGTTCAGCTTTGTGAAGGCAACACTCTGGTGCTTTATTCCTAGTTTTAAAAGTCTATATGCTTCTTTGGAATCAGATACTTGAATCCATTGTAGATCTTTAAAAAATAAAGAGGACACATCAATTTATAAAAACATAGCATTTGTTGTACCATGTAATCTCTTTAGAGATTTGTAACCTCTTTTCCCAAAGACATACAATGAAGTTTTTTTTTTTAAGTTTTTTAAAAGTTTATTTATTTTGAGAGAGAGAGACAGAGAGTATGAGTGGAGGAGGGGCAGAGAGAGGAAGAGAGAGAATCCCAAGCAGGCTCCACGTCATTAGCACAGGCCCGACACGGGGCTTGATCTCATGAAGTGTGAGACCATGACCTGAGGTGAAATCAAGAGTCGGATGCTTAACTGAGCCACCCAGGTGCCCCTATGATGAAATCTTTTAATAACACCCCTTATGTGGAATCCACTCAGCTATTCCATATTCCACTAGAAAAGTGAAATATAAGAGGAGGCGTTACAATTACTTTCTAATATTTAAGTTACAAAAACACAGACAAAAGTTTTTCAAAAGTAGGTCAAAGGGAAAATTAAAAATAGAAGAGATTCCTTAGAATTAAACATCCAGAAAAAAAAAAAAAAAGACAAAAGACAAAGCACACTACGGATTAACCCTACAAAATTACCTAGATGTGAAACACTGCAGGTTGCAATTCATTAGTGAATCATCAAGTCAAATTTAGTCATAACCAGCATTTTATTAAAATGAAGTGGAATACAGAAAACACCAAAGTGTGTTCCTTGTACTAAGGATAAGTATATAATTCACGAAACTTCTGAGTTGTAAATATACGTGTACATATATACACATGCAACTACTAGATCATAATGTTAATATATGTAAGTACTTCCTACTTTGAGTAGTGACTGTAAAAAGTTGGAAAAACACACTGTGGAAAGCTCCACAGTTTGCACACTGCTACAAAGCAGCATAATAATGTGAACATAAACACACACAGCTTTTCCC